TAACCTTGTACCTTTGGAGAGGGCTCATATAGGCTATGCCTGCTGCCCAATCCAATTATGTATTTTACATAATAAAATATGTTCAAATCATTGCTAGTGATCCAAATCATAACGAGGTGCCTTAAAATTGTCCCTCTGGAGAATTTTTCACTCATCGAGAGAGATTCCCCCACTTACCAATGGAGAGCTGCAAATTTTGTCCTATACTTGGCACTCGAGGCCATTGAACAGTGAAGGATATTTTTCCTGCCAGCACCTACTGCGACACGGGACCTCGGTTAAAACGGTCTTATCCGAATGATCCGTCTTCTCCTCCCACAGTAGGATTCGAACCTGTCGCAGGTTCGAATCCTACTGTGGGATCAACTCCTTACTTCGCTCTTCCAGAGCAGACGCTCTATCACTGCACCGGTGACATTATAAGGACAACGATTTTTATGTTTCAAGCTATTACGTTGTGCACTGAACATATTTCAGAAACTAAAATATAATAATAATAAATTTGTAAACTTCTTTGATAAAATATTATTTATATATGCCATTTGATTGCCTATGAGGAGTTTAAAAACTTCTAAACATTTATAAAACAAGAACTACAATGTACCTATTGATACATGTAGATATCGCCTGCTTAGCCTAGATGTGATGGTCGTATCATATTCTATTTTTTTATTTTACAGGGTGGTAGTTAATTTAAAAATGAAGTTGTCATATGAATTGTAATCTTTGTATTTACCCGGTAAATTTAAAGATTACAATATGACAGTCGTTTCGATCTAGGGTCGCCTAGTTTGGGGGTTAACCTTACGTTGCAGATTTCGATCTCTCTGTGGGAGGAAGACAACGGGATTCAGATAAGAGTATAAAACTGACCCGTTTAAACGAAACCCCAAAACCTTGCAAAAATTGAACTTCTTAGAATAAATATTCTGTAAAAGTTTTATGAAATCTTAAATCTTATTGGGTGGTAGGTGAGGAAAACATGAAAGGAAATACTTAATGCAATATGAGCTGCATTTTTGAAAATTTTATTTTGCTGTCAAAATGTGTTATCATGATAAAGTATGTAACTTAAGTCTTTACGATCAATTAGACTAAAATAAAGCAGAAGTAAGACTTCTATATACAATCCAATATACAGTTTTATATAAGAAATCATTATTGTACGAGACGACAGTAATATAATTTTGATTCAATCAAAGATTATAAATTGTTCTTCAATCGCAAATATGAGCACCAGAAGTTTTTTGACGTTATTTTTTCTGTCGTTAAATAGTTATTTATAATTTTTTTGCACCAAAAATTCAAAAAAAAGTTGCAGCTCACACTGCTTTAAATTGTGGTAATTTCTTTGAAGACATGCACAATTTATTTTTCCTTTCAATGTCATCGTTATAATCTTGGCAGGAACTCTTTTTATATAACATATATGAATGACCATGACACCAGACTTACCAAGAGATGTCAGTATTGCACTATCTGGCTATGATTGTCTAATCTCTTAGAGAAAATATGTTGTTCTTTGACCTAGTTCATAATTTTATTTTAAAAACACCACTAAAAGATTTCAGAATTAGAAAATTTACTTTATGTATTGTGAGGCATATTTTTCAATCTTGATCTTTCGATTGAACAAATACACAAATAGATATGGTTCTGAGCCTTTTTCCCTTCCACTTTTTTTCTTTCCTTTCATTCTTATCAATTTTTATTGTTTTCTTTCCCTGTTTTTCCACTCATTTTTCTTCCTCTTGTTACTCCGTAAGTCTTTAAAATTAGTTTGAAATACATGTCTCTGTGAAACTGCAAATATGTGCAATTTTTACATTTGTTCCTTGAACTCAAATGGAGAGAACTAAAATAGGCCATATTTGCCTGCTGTTCGATCCATTTTCATTGTACGATATTATGTTGCCCTGCTCCCATTTTGTATTGTTAAATGGACTTCTGAGCTTGACTACTGTTCGTTATCTTCATATATTTCATGAATAAAAAACTTCTCACATGTAATGTAATATAAACAGGCGATGCTCAGTAGGTAAAGGACGAACGGACGTACATCTCCTTCTCTTTTTCTTTATTTTGTACTTGTACAGTGTACAGTGGGCCCTCTTTTATTTTTATTGTACATAAATGACCTTCCATTACATGTAAACAATTCAAATATTGATATGTTTGCTGATGATGTTACTCTGTATTCAAATAATCATAATGCACGATGTTTAGAAAATACGCTAAATGCAGATCTTTGTGAGATTGAAAAATGGTGTGCTCAAAATCAAATGGTTTTAAATGTAGATAAAACAAAATGTATGTTAATGGGAACACAGCAAAGAAAATCAAAATTAGATAATCCAAATTTACAACTTTATGCCTCAGACAAAACAATTGAAATTGTTGAAACTGGAAAAATTCTTGGTGTACATATTGATGATAAGTTACAGTATGCAAATCATATTGACTCAGTTTGTAAAACGGTTAATTATAAGTTATTTACGCTTCGTAGGATTAAGAAATTTCTCCCTCTTCATACCAGGAAACTTTATTACAACGCTTATATTTTACCATCTATTAACTATTGTTTGACTGTTTGGGGAAATGCCCCCAAGCAGGACATGGACAGACTATTTAAATTACAGAAAAGGGCAGCAAGGATTATCCTTGATGCAAGTCCTGATTCTTCTTCTAAACCACTGTTTGAGAAACTTGGATGGTTAACAGTTTATGAACTAGTTGATCTATACAAATACATATTATTATACAAAATTTTCAGTGGAATGACTCCCGAATATCTTCGTAATTTAGTTGAATTTCAGTCTTCAACTTCTTATAACCTGCGATCCGAAACTAATTATGATCTTAGATTACCAAAATTTCGTACAAACTTATTCAAGACCTCTTTTCAGTATTCAGGTGTACATCTGTGGAATAAACTTCCCCAACACATAAGATTCTCTCATTCTCTACGAACATTCAAGCGTAATGTGGAAAATTACATTATCAGCTGTCGAACAATCATTTGAGCATAATAAGAGTTCAATATCGTATATTGTACTGTTATTGTTAAGATGTGTCTGTATTTGAACACTCTATTCATAATTCAGTGATTGTAATTCTCAAACCTATATAACATGTACTTAATTGTATGTGATTATGATGAATTGTATCTTGATGAAGTGTATATATTTTGTATTTGATATATGTACATATATATAGAGGGCCCTGGGGAAGAATAGTGCATGCACTAACCAGGTTACCTTCTTTAAATAAAGTTTTATTATTATTATTATTATTATTATCACATGGCAAAAATATTAATTCAAATTCACACTTTTAACTGTTTAGCTTATTAGAATACTGAATATAAAATAATTAGAATACTGGATATAAAATAATAATGGTTTTCATAGCAGTGAATGCTTTTTGTAATTTATAATGTTTCGATCTTTTGGTTTATGCAATTTTTAAGCAAATGAAAATTTTCCTAGCGTTTATATAAATCTGTTCTAAAGTGCCAATGAAAGGTATATTCCTTGAAATTTTTTTATAATCAACCCCCGCTTGAAAAGACCATTATAAAGTGATATTCCCAGTAGTAATAAGAAAAGTAAAATAGAATGTTTAGACAAATATCTATTTATTTAACTTGAGTGATATTCCTACCTTTAAGTTACGATCAATCATAAGAATGCTCTGATGATTCGATATACGTATGTAAGCTTAAGAACAGATTGGTAACCTTCTTGCCAATTTGAACCGTACATTTTAAGTTGAAAATTGAGATTTCATTTTTCACGTCCTGTTTGACGCACTAAAGACATTTCGCACGCTTTGCTCATCCACCTTCTTTCTTAGGATGGTGTATTTTATTTTTTTTTTAATTCATAAGTTCACTGACAAAAACACTGACAAAAATCTAGAACGATATTTTCCTCTTCAAAAATATAGAATTTTCACTTCAACTTTGTATATGACAATTAATTGTCATTTAAAAAATTTAAGTCTTTGCAGAGGACAGCACTATAAGCTGTACAGAAGAGAAATAGGAATAAACATAGTTAAGATAATTAAAGTTTTTTGTCAGCCACATTGACTAACAATTTATTCTTTCTATGAAGTATAGATTTATAGAAATAATTCAAACAATTCAAAAAGATTTCTACATTGTAAACGGCTGTCAAAATTTAGCAAGAAAAGTGTAACTTGAAGAAAGACAACTCGTGGTTTGTGTGAAGTCATGAAAAATTTGTGAATAGAGAAAGATTTTAATGGTATACATACAGATATTTTGGGAGCTATTTTTATCGCAAATGATATTTAGAAATTGTTATTTTTCTGAATTGATATATATATGTATATATGTTCAAAAATCTACCCTTCTATAACCATCCTTATTATTCTTTACAAATTTTTGTCACTTAAAATTCCATTTTATTCTGAAACATGAATGAAAAAAATTAAAATCTATGCGTTTAAACTTGTTCATTTTTACTTCATTAATTTAAACATGACTTAATAAAAAAGTAATATTTCCAATTTTTTTGATAAAGTTTGTATCTGCATCTACCTTTAATCATGAAAACTTTAAGAATTTTTTTTTTGCACAAAAGAGGTGATATCATTTATATGTGTGACGTAACAGCTACATATTTTACATGTATTTCAGTGATACAAGCATGTATATAAAGTAAACTGTGGGGGATACTCTTATAAATCTTGTCATCAGCATAGTTTTCACAAAGCTTTGAAAAGGGTTGACGTTTAAATGTCCCTTTGAAATACTAGTGAATAAATATGACATAAAAGAGGAATTTAACTTGAAATATACTCGTTTTTCTACAAGAATTATATTTGACTGATAACTTAAGAGTTTCAATTAAGTGGAATCAAAATAGAGTGCTTTCTAGTGTATTGTAACCGGCACTATCATAGGAATTAGAAATATTTGAGAGTTGTGCATGCTTTCATTTGATTTTAAGGACCTTTTCCGAACCAGAAGTGCTACAAAAGTCGAGTGGTCATGTTTCTGTGATAGCCACCTACATGTAACGCAGAGTGATTCACGGAAATAAACGCAATACAGTACCAGTTTGCCAGGATGTAAACTAATATTTGCACGTATTTTGTTAAGATTTGATAATTATCTGTAACAAATTTTTGTTCCTTTGTCTATGTGACATTTAAATTGTATATGTTTCACTTCGGGCAAAGGAATGCAAACACTGAGGGAAGACACTGTGAGAGACAGCCATGTGTTCTGTTGTTGATTGCAATTAGCCTAGATACCATTTTATCACAGTGGATACAATGTTTTGGATAAAAAGAATCACATAAAACTCACTTGTTTTCACATTATGTGTGTTGGAAGTCAGGAAGGATTATACGGTACGTATTAACTTTATTTTGTAAGTTTGTCTTCTGTTACGGTTCAATAACTATACATTGTATTTAGAGAATCGGTCGGTATTTTATTTACATGAGCTAAATAAAACGAAACTATGAATGTGTGGACACCATGGTCTTTTTATAAAGCATCGGTATTTCGTGTATTCCTTTTTGTGTTTAAACTGAGGATACAAAAGTGTATTTTTAAATGTATGCATTTTATGTACACATATCTTGACTATCTATTGCTCCTAGGTAGGTCAACATACTAACTCCGCTTAAATCCGAATTTCCAAAGTTACATAAAGTAAACATAAAGAGGCCCAGAGGGCACATCGCTGACCCGAGCAACTAGCTAGGAAAAATCAAAAATCAGTTTAGTTTTGAAAAGTTTAAATATATTACAAGAATAGATATGGGTTATCCCATATCCAAAGATATTCGACTATTAGATTTAATATGTTTAACAGTCACTGTGTTTAATTACTTTTAGTGTTAAAAAAAACTGCACTGTCTAGTTATGGAACTGGTGTAAATTTCGTGAGTCCGTAGCATTATGGTCACCCAGTCTCCTAACAAACAGTACACATACCTGTGTCCGCAAGACCAGTTAGCCTTGGTCTACATACGTGCGATGGAGTTGTCAAAGGCATCTAGCAAGCTCGGAGAAAAACGTTTTGTTTTGCACAGAAGTTAAGATCTGACAGACAAAAACTTTTTTTCTTAATTAGATCATATGAATACGAATTCTCATTAATAAAAATTATACAAGCCCTGTTGAACTATATTTTGTTCTAGCATTTGCATCTGCAACAAAGTGTGTTTAAAATGGGTTAGGAAAATCAGGGCCGGGCCGGGAAATTCTAAACTTAAAACTTTTTTTTTTGAAAATTACTGAAATATACTAATGTATTCGTCACGGAACTTACTTATATAATTCAAATTCTATATAAATTAATATGCTGCACTTCAACACGAACCCGGTTTTCAGTTTAAAAATAGTTTCGCTACACATTTTATAATTACACTCCCTACATTTTCCACAGTCTTCACACGAGCAGAATCCGGCCAGGAATTGAAAATTCCGTCATTTAATAACACACACACACAGTATGATTAATTTTTTTTTATTTAAGGATGACGTTTACTCAGGTTTCAGATAACAGAAAGGAAATTTTATAAAGTAAACATGAACAAAATTGTTCTAAATACAATTGAAATCAATTTAAAAATAATATTTTATTATAAAGAAAATATACAGGTACAAAAGTCAATGTATGGTAATGCAGAGGAAATTGACTAAATTTTTAATTTTTCTGTCAAAAATTCTCTATCAAACATGTTAAAAAAGACTGAGGAGGGAGCGAGCGTAGGAATATTGATATTTTTTATTTGCATTTCGGGGGAAAGTGATTTTGTAAAAATATTTTGACATTATTTTTGGTTTCTTTAACGTATGACATACACAACATTATTCTTATCATGAACAATAATGTTGTATCTACTTGTCATGATGGAACTATTTTTGTAAGAACAATTTGTGTGAGTCGACCCTGGCTACAGTAATATATCTTGAATAGATAGTAAGCACTGATCGAATATATTAATAAAGGTGGGTTTTAGGTAGGAGGGGGTATTTGAACAAACTTCCTAAGAATGCTTTTGAATTAATGTGTAACATGATAATGACTTTGTTGTTTATTGTTAGGATTCACTTTAATGATGCTTTTAAATTGATGATTAATCATGGCGTGAAGAATTTTAACGATTGTTCCCATGTATTCCTATGAAAAACTCTGATACCCCATTTTGGCCCCACTCTACCCGTGGGTCATGATTTGAACAAACTTGAATCCACACTACCTGAGGATGCTTCCATATAACTATTCACAATCACGGCTTTGCTGTTCTCAAGAAGAATTTTAAAGATTTATTTATGTATTAAATCCTACTTTGATCACTCATAATGGCCCAGGGGTCATGGTTTGAACAAACTTGAATCTTCACTACCAGAGGATGTTTTCATATAACTATGTCCAATCATGGCTTTGCTGTTCTTGAGAAGAAAATTATTAAAGATTTCCCCTATATGTATGTATTCCTATGTTGAACTTTTATATCCAATTGTGGTCCCACCCTATCCTCGGGGTCATGATTTGAACAAACGTGAACCTTCACTACAAGAGGATGCTTCTACATGAGTTTCATCTTTCCTGGCCCACTGGTTCTTGAGAAGATTTTTAAAAGATACCATTACTTTATCACTAATTAATAATTATCTCCCCTTGAAAGAGGGTGTGGCCCTTCATTTGAACAAACTTCAATCCCCTTCACTCAAGGATACTTTGTGGCAAGTTGGTTAAAACTGGCTCAGTGGCTGTTTAGAAGATGAAAATATGAAAAGTTTACGACGACGACAACAACGACAGACAAATTTTGATCAGAAAAGCTCACTTGAGCCTTCGGCTCAGGTGAACTAAAAATGACTCGTTCCAGCTTTGGTAAAGAGCAAGGTATGATTTCAATACAAATCTTGCCCTGTGATTTTCAAAGTGAAACTTAAATAAAACATGAAAATTCATGTTTTCTGAATCATTGAAATTCCATACAGAAAAATCCTACAAATTATTTTTCACACATGCATTTATAAATGCTAATTGTGACGTCATAAACATGTGCATTTTCCCGTATTTTCTTAAAAAGTGACAGAAGACACCCATTTTCAGTAGAATTTTCTTTCAAATAAGTATGTCCACAGGCATCGCCCACAAAGATTTTCAGATATTTTTAAAAGAATTTTCATTGAATTTTGTACAACATATCCAAAAAGTAAACTGGGCGACGGCTGTGGACAATTTTTTGAAGGAAAATTACCCTTGAAATGAGTCATTTTCAGGCTTTTTCTGTTTAAAGTAGAGAAATAGATCAAATTAATGACGTCATATTTCCAGAGGATGTGGCCCTTTATTTCATAATCTTTTCTGATATATCACAGTCATAAACTTGGCTAATTTTTAAGCCAATTTCAAAACTTTTTGAAAGCATTAAATTTTTAGGGCACGATAAAGCTAAAACCATACCGTCTTCTTTCCCGTCAAAGTTTCCAATGCCTGTACGTGTATGTGTTAACTTAATCTTGTTAGAGAATGACATGGAGCAAAAATAAAGATGTCAAAATGTTCAGCTCATAACTCCAGTCACGAATGGTTCCAGAAATTTAGACTTCCTGCTCGAGTTTTATATGATGTGCTATACATGTAAATATTAGTTTTAAATTGATTTTAAAAATTGATGACGCGATAGAAAATGCCATCACCTGTCTACGAGAGTGGAAAAAAACGGAGACAACAGGAAAAAAAAATTATTTGATGATTATAAAAATAATATTCTTTTTCCGGTTAAAAGATGCAATCACAATTTTTTTCATTGTTTAAAACCAGTTTTGCATATCGTGTTCATGATAAATACACATTTGTTCAGAAAGCACTAAAAACTTAAAATAAAAATCGTAAGAAACCCTTCAGACTCTTTTTTTTGGTTTTGAATGACAAAATACAAGACGCGGCAAGAAAGGGATTTTATTTCATAACAAGAGTTATTTTTCTTGTAACCTATGAAGAGGGATAATCTCTACTTAAACTAATTGCAGTCGGTTTTAGACTAAAGCGGCGATATTGAGAAATAAATAAATATTTATACCATGTAATAAAAAATAAATATTTAATATTTTGACCATTTATAGAGATTTTATAAAATACTAAGATACGTAGTATATACATGTACTGCATAAATATAGACTTCAGGAAATACCACTTAACAAAGCACTGATATAGATACTAGTATTTTAACAATTCAAATGAGCCAGAATGATATAAAAGTTGGGTTTCAGAGTTTTAAATCCTATCGATTCTCATTCCTACGGAATTGTAAATATAAACTGCTTAGTTTAGTTCGGATTAATTTCAGACGGGCAAAACTGTTTTCGCATCTAGAGAATGTTTGTAGACCTTAAAATAAATGTGTTTATGGAGGTTTTAACTTAGCTGCGAATACCATATACATGCAAAGAAATTTTCAATAATAAAATATGATTAAGTGAATGCTTATAGCAGTGTCTTTCACTAATTAACAATTTTCAATTGCCAATGAGTACATGACTAATTTAATTAGTCATGTATATTGGCAATTGAAAATTGTTAATTAGTAAAGGACAGCAGTATAACAATTGCAAGATACATGAATTAGTTTGAGAAACTTTTCAAGTTGTAGATATTTTGTCATTTTATTGAGGAATATATAAATATTATGGCAATGTTTAGATCATGAGATACATGTATTCAATCGCTTAAAATTATTTTTTATTTTGTTTATCAAAAAATATCTTTGTAAAATTAATACACTTAATCCCTGTTTTTAACAACCATTAATACTTCAAGTGTATAGTTAAAATCAAGGAAATTCGTGAGCTATTTTCACAATATTTTAATTCACCACACCTAAATCACATATATAGTGATTAATTCAAATTAGTTTATTTTCTATTCTTTACAGGTATTGTCTTAAATACCGATGGATGTGAACTTAACGAATAACAGAACACTAGCGATTTTACCCGCAGACTACATCCTCTGGCACTTAAATGAAAAGCTGTTCGAAAAGAATAAACCTGCTATAATTTTCTTACTAATTAGCATGGTCGTGGGAACAGTTGGAAATGGACTTGTGGTTTATGTATATGGATGGTGTCTACGCCCCAATTCTTCCAAGAATATTTTTATTACCTGGTTGGCTGTGTTTGATTTGATTTCTTGTTGCGTCACAATTCCATTTGAGGCCTTTGATCTACGCTTTCCAATGTTGTATGGAGAAAGAACATTATGCAAAATGTCTCGCACGCTGGCATTTGCTGTTAACATCACTTCCGGTTTAATTCTAGTGTTGATTGCTTTCGACAGACTTCAGATCACAAGGCCTCCCTATAAAAGTTACACGAAGAAGAAAACCCGACTGTTGATTTTATTAGTGACTGTCATATCGTTCGTGGTGTCCATACCTGCTCTATTCGTGTTCGGAACGAAAACCATACCTACTATATTTCCGGGTGTGAACGGAAAAGACTGTTCATATGACGATTCGGTGAAAAATACACAGTTTCCAATTATTTATTATGTGTTCTTAGCTGTGATTTTTCTTTCAACGTTTATAATTCTTGGTGTCTTGTATATAAAAATTGCAATTGCAATATACGAGTGGAAACATACTATTATAGGAGATGCCTTGGCAATGTCTATTCAAAATGGACACAAAATGTCTCGCAGTACTTCTGTTGATTCTTCCAAATTTCACGCTGTGAACTCAAAGAAGACCAGCATTTCATCAGTTTCTTTAGGAGAATCATTTGATTCAGAAAATAAGCAAACAAGAAGTCACAACTCCTCCGATCATATGGAATATGAGACTCGGACTAATTCACAAGATCAAACTCACAACTCTTCCACTCAGCAACATGATGTCAACCTCGCAAACTCGGCAAAAAGTACCAAGAGTTCAATAACAGACTGTACAGATAATGGAAAGAGAAAACAATCATTAAAAGAGAAAGCAAGTCCCATTAAATCAAATGTTTTATTTATTACAATAACTGCCGTGTTTGTGCTTAGTTATCTCCCTTTCTTATTATTTGAACTATTAAAAGGAGTTCTGAAAGAGGGAACATTTAATGAAACAGCATTTGAAGTGGTTACAAAATCTGTGTATTTAAACAATCTTGTAAACCCAGTCATTTACGGAATTTACAACGAAAAGTATAGACAGGAAATTTATAATTTGTTCTGTAACCGACATAAGTTTAGATCAAACAGATATAATACAAGTTTTAGTAATTAATATTAATTATGATAGTTTTATTATGAATGTCTTGTACATGAATAACTTTTGCAACATCGCATTTTAATGCTTATTGAATCTGTTTATCTGTGATATTTCCGGAAAGTGTAAGAAGTTTTTAAACACGTTTTACATTCTCTCCACCATTGGTTCATACATTTATTTCCCTCGTTAGCTCACGAGTACAGAATATAGTGATACGGACAAGGAAATGTGCATTTCTTTTTATCTATTCATTAAACCCCTGTCACACCAGGGCTGCGTCCTCACGGCGACTGCACGGCGTCCTCAAAAAATGCAAAACGCCGAAGTGATCGCAGTGGAGTCTCCTACAGCGCCGTGACAACGCGGCGAGATCTCCACTGAACGCCTTAGTGTCGCGTAGGGTCTCCTAGAACGCCAGGGGACGGCGATCACTTTGGGCATGCACAAAGTACGCGCCGTGTGATCGCGGTCTGATAAGAACGCCGTAGAAACGTAGTATGATCGCCGTAGCAGCGCGGTGAGATCTCCAACAACGTAATGGAAGCTCCGTACGAGCGCCGTGAAGACGCACATGATCGCGGCACGAACGCAGTGATAGTAGACTGTGCTTCCACGGAGACCTCACGGAGATGTCGCGGAGTCCTTGGAGATGTCACTGCGTTTCTATCGCGTTTTTACGGCGCTTCTAATGAGATTTATCGTCTTGTGATTTTTTGGACTGCGATTACACGGCGACAACACGGAGTCGTCACTGCGATCATTGCGCTCCCATGGCGTTTCTACAGCGTCCGTTGGCGATCACAATGCGCTTTCACGGCGTTGTTAGGGCGTTGTCAGCCAGCTCACAAAACAAGAGCGATGGGATCATATTTGTTCAGCAATTATTCCAACGTATTTGTTGCACTAGGAGCATTTGAGTGAAAACAAAAATGGAAGAGAAAATTACATCAGAACTTGTTCTGTTGTTTCACTTAAATTTTGTAGAAAACTTTTCAGTGTGTTTATTTTTTTTTTTTACATTCATAATAAAATCAAAGAAAATCTAACAACACATCTGAACCGATAAAATTTAAAAAAGGGAATTTAATCATAAAACTATTTATAATTAAGTACTAAATTATGTAAATAGAACATTTTTGATTAATAAGAATATTTCTTGGCATGATTAGAAGTTTTTTCATCGTGTAACTTGAATCTTTAAACAAAAATGTTTTACATTCCTTAAGAATTTAAATCAATGAGTATAGAACGCATTGCGAACGTATTGTGAACGCAGCCAGCGCAGTGAGAACGCCGTGAACACGAGGTGAAAACTCCTAACGCGCCGTGAAAACTCCGCGGAAGCGCAGTCAATCGCCGAGAGATCTCCTTGGGAACGCAGTAGAACGCCGTGAGATCGCCGGAGGATCGCGTCCGTCGCCGTAGGGACGCCGTGACATCTTCATATTATGAAAATTTTACAGAAATTTGTGCAGTTTTCCTGCGATTCCACGGCGATTTTAAAAATTTAACAACGCCGTAATGACTCCGTGTGAACGCAGCTTGGTGTGACAGAGCCTCATGTACGTACTTAAAATGTCTGTCCCAAAAATTTGCTCTTTAAGTAAGATATTCATAAAGTTCATGTAGATCTAGAAGTATTTTATTACTTTTGAAATAATCCTAATCCTTTGAGCATCATGTTCTTCACTTCGAATTCGTCAAAAATTTTGACTCTGGTCAACTGCTGATGTGTTCGAGACAAGAACAAACAATTTGCCATAGAGATTAAAAACTATGTAAACTTTAATATGATTTACTGATTGATTTTACGGGTTCCATAACATTAAAGAACTATAAAATTTAGTATACCTGTTTTGTAACATCCTTGGCCACTTTTGGTCGGTAAGTGCTAGATATTTCTTATTTCACAGGTGTATTTTTTTTCACAAAACCCTTCTCTGGGTACCTCATTATGCATCCATTGTCCTTGGAGATTGACTTGCATCCTTCGCCATAGCTGCCATACGGGGCAAAACAAACCTTTTTGTGATTTTTTGGAGTTGATTTTACAGTGTAATTTTTGTATTGATGATTTAACACTTGTTACATGTATATTGCCACTCAGATAAGAAAAATATTTTAATAAATTTCTTAAGTTTTGCAGATGTGTTTTCATTTGCTTTGTAATTTGGTAATCGTACAATTATACATTCAAAATGTCTGGAACATTTAAAATTAACCACCACAAAACTGTTAAAATTATACCATTACAAAAATAATTTGTCGTGTTGATGAAATATGAAAAAGCTAAAATGACATATAATAAGTACTTATTAACATCTCGTAAGAAGACATTTGAAAGTAATGCTCCTTTGTATGCATGATTTTCCAGAAAATTGGTTGCATCTTTTTAAACTTGGCAAAGTGTATCGAATAATACAGTTTATTACATACAATGATTTTCATACATCAAAAGAAGCAAAATGTGGTCTTACACATAATCTTATGCTCATGTGATGCCTTTATTTAAATAAAAGTTTCAAAGTTACATGATATAAATGTTGAACAGGTGGAGTTGGGGATTTTATTTACTGTTACATATGTTTTACATACCGGGTTATGTTATTATTGTGATAGAACTTTTCCATGGTTATAAATATTTTGTCTTGACATTAGAGTTTGAACGACTTTAAAACAAAAAAAAAATTGGCCGTAACTTTTTAACAGTCTAGGGCGTTCGTATTGTACAGGTATTTTGTTACAAGATCTTCTCCAGGGTAACATTGACTCTGGAAATTGAAGAACTTAAAAAAAAAAAACAAACATGTTTCTATCTTTTGATCTTGACCTTAAGAGTAAAATTTGACTTGTACTTGAAAAACTACAATCTTTGCCTTATAGCTTTTTAGGAGACTGTCATGAGTCGAGCGATCGCCTGATGATCGGAAGGTCGTGGATTTAAACTTCGGTCGCGACTGACCTAATTCGATAAGAAAAGATAGCAACTGTTCCTTCGCCGATCGCTTGGAACTTGAAGTGAAAGTTGCGGATCCTTTGGATGAGATCTTGAAAACCGAGGCCCTGTGTCACCATAGGCGTTTGCACAATAAGGATCTGCTCAGTGATCTTGAGTGCCGATAAATTTTTATCGGTTTATAATGACGTCTCGAAAAAGAGAACTTGGATAAGACGTAAAACATTCAACCAATTTAATAAATGTAGAATGCATTATCTTCGACATTTTGGGAGTAGATTTCTTCTTCTCGTATTTTATTAAAAATAACATATTCGTCCCGGGCCCGCGTGGCGCAGTGATTAGCGTTTGTACTGGAGTTGCGGAATAAGGTATTGACATTGACATTCGGGTTCGAATCCTACTACGGAACGATCAAACCGCGGTCCCTTGTCGCAGTAGGTGCCGGGGTACAAAAAAACATATTTAACGAGCAGATAATAAAAAGATGAAATACATATACTTTAAAACGATAAAAATTATTCGCTTTGCATAATAATAAACTGTAACATTAAACATCAAAAATTTCCTTTGATTTTTTTTTCAGAATCCCTCTCATAACCCAGAGCATTACATAGATATCCACCATTGGTATTGGTTGTAATGGTACCTCTATTAGAGTAGTTGGCCATGAATGAGTTCGCAAAATGGCGGCGTCGTCGATGTAAACAAACTACGCCTCTAAAATAAAATATGTTCTTTGTTTAACTTATGAACAGTACTTACCTTCTTCACTTAGTATTTCGTAATTTGCCAACTTGCACGTATTACACTATTATGGATTCTGCGAGGTATGCTGGCATACAAGCTCTGAATGTAGTTAAGAGGTAGAGCTGTCCATATTTCTTGTACTATACGTTTTAAATCATCAGCGTTTTTAATTTCCCCCAAACATCTTTGCACACGGATTTTTAAAGTTTTTCAGACGTCTTCTATGATGTTGAGATCTGGACTCTGGGCAGGCCATGGCAAAATATTAATATCGTTGTTGTTAGCCTTCCATGCATTGGCCCTAGCAGATACATAACATGGGGCGTTGTCTTCCTGGAAGATCAAGGCTGGGTTTGGGAAGTGTTGTGCTACTACCGGTCATAAATTGTCATCAAGAATGGAAATATATTTATTTGTGTCCATGTTGACATCAACTGTAACTAAAAGTCCCTGCTCCATGATATGAAATGCACCCCCAAAACATAAGGGACACACGACAGGTGCGCTCCCGGTCTCCAAACTAACCCAGACATTCAGGTCTTAAACGCTCGTCAGACCTCCTCCAAACGTACACTTTATTATTGTTACCAGCATGATTTAAGTTTCATCACTGAAGATGACCCTAGACCAGTTATGAACAGTCCATGTCAAATTTTGCCGACAAAACCTTGTCCGCCGCTCTCGGTTCACACGAGAAATGGTAAATAATAAATCCGATTGGAAACCACACATCGTTTATAGCCATCCTCACAAAGTCGTCTTCTTATAGTTCTTTCAGACACATTATATCCTGTGAAATTGTTAAATCTACTTGTTAAGTCTTTAACGTCTGTCTTCTGTTTCCTTTTAGCCGTCTGAAAAATATTCTGTCGTCCCTCGGCGTAGTCTTTTTCTTATTCCAACTTCGCTGCTTGTTTTCTATGCTTCCTCTCTCTCTGTCTCACCCTTTTCAAAAATTTCTGGACAGTTTTACTGTTAATATTTGTCATCTGTTGAATTTTGTAGCTCGAAAAACTGTTATTTGATAGAAATATAATAATTTCTTTTTGCTCAGTTGTGAATTCTTTTCCATGAGGAGCCATCGTTTCTATGCAGACGATAAATTATTTATTTAAAAGAGATAATCCAGAAAATAACACAAACAGTTGCAAAACTTGAAAAACTATTTATTCTGATAAAATTGGATGCGATATGACCGTGTTTCATGGCAGAATTTTCCACTCTACTTTTGAATCGGAAATGTTAATACGAACGACGCCGCCATTTTACTGTTATTTTAATGTGTTTAGTGTAAATAGTTTACTCGTAATTTATTCAAATAACTGAAGCGGGTTGAACAGCAGGCTTCAATGTCTTTGATCGTTCTCTCCATAGGTTATTGTTTAAAAGAAGGAAGCAAATAGAAATTTTAGGACTTATTCACATTTTCTCCAATTTTCGACAATTTTGATTAACTTATTCTCTTAAGCGTCATTACAATCAGGGAACAAATGGCTATTTTGTAGCATGTTCATAAGTATTCAGAAAAATTGTACATTTTCCCAAAACTCCCCTTAGGAAAAAATTGGTATTGAATATAATAGAAGGAAAAGATGGTTTTAAATAATTTCAAAAATAGGAGGGGCAGTGTAACTGTTGCTTGTCAACACAAAAAAATAAAACTTTCAAATGTACAGCTCGTTTATGAAACAAAATCTAACAATCTATTGTCAATCAATTTCAATATCAAATTATTTGAACAAAAAAAAAAAATGCGAACGATTGAGTTAAAACCTATTCCACCGTACCAACAGTGCAAGAAGTATAATTACAAAGAAAATGCTCAATAAAACGAAACAAAAAAATGCTCGATATAAAACAATGCGCATGCTCTAAATAGTATTTAAAGTAGTTTAAAACTCAGGCTGTTCCTGAGAGGGGATCGAAGAAGAAAGATCATGACAGAGGAAAAGACACATTAGAAATGGTAAGTTTTCTAACAAACACAAAGAGGTAGAAAAAAAGGTTAGTGTAACGTACTCTGTACTGAAAAATAAAAGTAATTTATTATTTTTTAAGGACAGATGATACAAACAAACTTTTGTCAAAGAATTTGAAAATAACAACTTGGGTCATGTTTAAATGAATAAAATGAATAACTATTACCGCGTAGTTTTTAACTTTTTGTTCAAATTTGGACAAAAATGGAATTAAAAGTGAAAAATGTATTTGTATAGATCAATAAGGATGGTTTCAGACGGGCAAACTTTTGAACATCACAGAAGGTTTACAATTTCTTCATATTCTAAAAATTTATTATTTGCATCATTTGCAATGAAATAAGGTCAGAAAATATATACCAATTCACTCAGGCATCCATTTTTGTTTGTATCATCTGTCCTTAAAGCATTATTTTTAAATAATAAAACTCAGTCTAAATGTGACGAAATCAGTCCGTTGCCATATGGAATCTTGGATGCATCAGTTACAGTTACCGTGTATTTTCCATCATTTTTTAAATTTTGTAGCCACTTATTTTATCGGTGCTTGATCCCTATTGAAATTTAAAAAAAAAATCTTTAATCATTTGAATCACTCTAAAACTAATTGAACAAGTTTTAAAATTATTTAGTACATGAAATAAATACAAATTTATTTTAACAGATAATTCAAGTGGTATTGCTACTTTTATCCCCATACGAAATCGAGACAGGTAAGATTATTCCCTTAAATTATTTATCTTTTGGTTAATTTTTTTAGTAATCATTGTTATTTTGATTAGGGAAAAAACAACTATTTTATCAGATATCAGTATAATTCAATCCACTAAGTTAAAAATACGAAGTTTTAATTAAATATTTGAATTGTAGCATACTCTGGCTGCTTTCCGGAAACCCCAACTACTAGGCAGCTAGCAATAAACCCCGGGAACTACGTACCAGCTTCCTTAACCCCTGTGCAATGTGAGGACTCCTGTTCGAAGAAAGGGCATCCCCTCGCGGGTCTTACGGCCGGCAAAATATGTTTCTGTGGCACGGCGTTGACACAGCCTCAGGCGTCTGAAAGTGCCTGTGTAGAGAACTGCGCCGGCGACACCAGTCAGAAATGTGGAACGGACGCAGAACCACCTTATGTTAATGTGTATACCACCCCAGTGGTTCTGAATGGTTTTAGGATATTCCCTGGAGGTATGACCATGAGGAAAAACAATTATATGAATTTCCACTCAATTTGATATAAAGCTCTTTTTTTGTTCTGTTTGTTTGTTGTTGTTGTTTTGTTTTTTTGCTTTTTATTATTTATTATATATTTTTTCCAAGCTTACAATATATTTTTTGAAAAAAATATATGTTCTGTCTACAATTGTTCTTATTAATCGTTGATCAAAATCGATTTTCGTAACAACTTCTTACAAATGAAGGAAATGTTCGGCAAATGTAATATTTGATCCCGTCTCCTACAACGCAGGAAACCCTACGCTCGCATGAACATTGTTTCAAATTTTCTTTGGCCTATATTGTCATTTCACTTCAAAAAACATTTATTTACTTATATGAAGTTACATTATTTGACTTGGAAAGAAATGAAGTCGGCATTTGTTTTCATTTAAATATTCTAAAGAACCAAAGTTCTAATCAATATTAATTTCAATACACAAACTTAGCCGAAAATTGATTGATTTCACATTAAAAATTTAACTTTGTGAAAAAATATTGATATTTCTTATTTCTCAAAGTATTTATTTATACAATTCTATTTGTTCGCTTTCTAAAGATTAATTTTTATTGTCTTATTGACTGCCCTAATATGCTGTATGGTCGATGTGCTTAGCCCTAATACACCTTTTGAAAACATTCATTGAGTTACACAATACAAAATAAGTTGTGAAATACTGGAAATGTAAATAGATAGAAACGCTTAAATAATTAAAGAAAAAGAATTAACTTAAAGTTTATTAGTATCAAGATATGATTTGTATTATAATATTTTAAAAATTTTTCTTAAATTCGTTTTACAGAGGCCAAGAGATATTTAAAATAGGATAATTTAATGACTGTCAATGGAGATTATATACATAAATTTTGAGATACATTTTGTTGAAGTCGTAATCTATTTTTTTTTTTTAAAAATAGAAATATTTATTTCATTGAAGTTATATTACTTTATAAACGATGTAAAATGAATTTAAAAACTTTCTCCTTTTTTGTATACAAGTCGCTCCCTTTGTTTATATTTGTATTCAAAAATTTACATAAAATTAAATGCATAAATGCCGGTGTCTAAAGAGGATAAAATCCTTGCAACGCATAGAATTCCTTATAACAAATAGCAAAAGAGAGGTTCTGTTTAGTCTACTTCTCTTGAAATACCCCCAACTCCTTTCCAACTCAATTCTTTATGCTTTGATAATTTTATTGAGAATACAAGTTTGTCACCCAAACATTGTCCTTTCTTTGCATTAGATATGCTTTTGGAGACGTTTGTATCTCAGAATATCTACTTTAACTTGACCAATGGTGACATACAATCCATTGTCGCTGTAACATCAGACAATGGACCCGACTTAGGGCCCGTCACTACTTTATCCGTTCCAATTATTCCGAGAAAGTCAAGACCACTGCAAATCAAGGCCACAATCAGCGACACCGGGTCAAAAACATTGGATGCAACTCAAGCATTTAAGGTAACTTTATTTTACATTTTGTGCAAGCCAACATCTTGGCAATATTATACTATTTGAAATTCATTAACACTTGTAGGAATGTCTTTATCTATTTTATTTAAAAGGTGGAAGCCAGAGTCAAACTGGTAAGTTTGGACTGTCCGGATTACGCTATTGGCAATGTTCGATTTGATTGCTTCCTACGAATTGGTGTTGGCAGCCCTATATCAGTTAACGTAGACATGGGCGATGGATCAACATTTTCACTCAACGTTCAAGGTTTGAGGATATATTTAATCATTTTTCCCTTGAAATATTATCTGCAAGAAGATTGAAGCATCTCTGAATATATTTCTGACATTTGTTTTACGAAAAGATATATAGAGGTCTATTTTGAGAAAAAGTGAACAGTCCGTGTAAGAGAGAAAAACAGAAAGAAGAAAGTGAATTAAAGTCTGAATATGTACTTTGCCGTAAGAATCAGTCTCTGTATTGTAGAATGTAAAGAATTTTCGACGGGTCATGCAGATGGTACTATTTCTAGCGTCACACATCCGGGCAACAATTTATACTTGTACCCAGATACAATTGTCAAGACGAACGCTACTCTGGTGGGTCTAGATTATACGGCAACTACTGCTGGGGATGTCATTGTGCAGGTACGTGTATAGTGTATGATCAGAGATCGTGTCATTTATTTCTTACAAAACTAATGTACATGTAAAATCCATAATACTTGTATGTAGAGATGGAGAAGTGAGATTCACTGACAGGTATATTTGATAAAAATATAAATGTGGATTATTAACTTGAGATAAACACCAGTAATTATTTAATGTTTTTATTAAACGGGCTTGATTGATTGATTGATTGATTGATTGAATATTGTTTAACGCCGAGTCGGCACTTTTTCAGCCATGTTTCGGCGGACCATTAGTTTAAATCGGTTTTTGAAAGTTTTTGGTTTCTCTGGCGGCCCCCAGTGAGCCTACTCTTTTTCGAACTCCAGAGAAACGATCTTTTACGTGCCAAGGGGGTTTTTATCCATGACACGGGGCACCATTTAACGTCCCATCCGACGGACTTAAATATTTATTTTAAAAATATGTAAACTGTTAAAAATATTGCATAAACTGTTAATAAAATAAATTTGATATGTACATGTATATCTCATTAAAATTGTTTTTGATTCGGATTTCATTCACTTCCTCTATGGAGAACTTTTTCTCAGAACAAAATTCAAGATGGGTCCGTCCACAAATGTCATTGTCCCTAACTCTCAAAACTGATTCCTGCCATGTGAGAAAGTACCGTTGGTTGTCATTTGTTGTAAATGCAACGTACTTCATCGTCATCAGTAAAATTGTCATCATCTTAAGTATCATGTACATGTATTGGGCCGGATGTTTTGCTTTGAATGCCAGATGTTCCTGCTTTGGGCCTCAAATAATTTGAAGTTGCTGGAGTTTTTCCTTATTGTCTTATTTAGTGCTTTGCCTTTTGAAATGTTTTTTTTTCTTTTTCTTATTTTTGCTTTTTATTTTGAGATGTTTCCAAAACTTAAATATAAATTCCATATACGGCTTCTGTTCAATATTTGCGATTGGTTGTGCAGCTCCCTCACCCATTAGTTTTGTGTCTACTGTCAGAGTCGGTTGCATTACATATAAATCATTGGCATATATGATTGCAAATGCTGTTGTCCCTTGTGTTCCTTCAAAAATGTCTGGTAGCAGAAGGAATATTCCAGTTTTCCTGAAGGAGAAAACAAGATAATATGGAGACATTGCCTTTGGCTGTTGCTTAATTTTTTTAATCTCATATTTAGTAATGTTGGCTCCAGGATTTTGTCACACATACATGTAGGTCGAACATTCTCTATAATACATCTTTTTCAGTGGACCGAATAAAGCTTTATCTATTGGCTGGGTAGTCTGACTGTTATGGGATAGAAGGAAAAATAAAATAACATTCCTTTGGCCGGCCCAATTCGTCATAGTTAGTCGTATTTGTGATTTGTGGCCATCATAGTTGGTTCCTGATTTGGATTATCTGTAATGCCTGCATCATGCACCATTTGACCAACCACTTTCACAGCATGCTCATGGTCAACTCCCTCGAGAAAGGCAGACATCGATTGCTTGCCTGGTAATACATAATACGGGGGAATGTGATTTCTTACATCATTTCTTGCAGCAATAATTGTAATTGTGCATGACCATGGAGATGTAAAATACTTCCGTTAGTGTTTTGTTACAAACTATTTTAGGTGACACATGATTTGTGGTAATACAGCTGTTTCTTCTATTTTAAAATTTCGATTTGACTAGTACATGTTTAATACATTGTTTGTAGTCATATTTTCAGAAAGCTCTTCAAGGTTTTTAAATTTTTTTTTCTTTTGATGTGATCTCTGCCCTGTGTACAGAAAGCTTCTGGGGCTTAATGAGTTCAGGTTGGGGCCATCTATCTGCTCATAAAATGGTAAAGCCAATTATTGCTAAGCTTGAAAGAATTTTGTAATTTTGTTGTTACATGTATTCAGTTTCTTTTTCAATGAAACAGCATACTCTTTTGCCATGAAATGAATGCTTTTTTTGTGTATCCTTAACCTATCTCAGCCATGTATGTTAAATGGTCGACAAAATTTTCCCCTTTTTTTCACGTTTCAGTAAACAGGTGTTCTTTGCCCACTTTTGATGTTAATATTACATTTCCTTTTGTTCTTGTTATGTCCTGTACAGTTAATTCAAAGATCTTTTAAACATTAGCAACTCTATTTACATTCTACATCGACAGAAATGACAGCTTTGTGGGCTTTTTCCAGATTATTTCTGTCGTATTGCAACTTTTTTTTTTGTTTCATTAAAACCATTTTTAGACCATTACTAATTTTTCCCATATTTTAACTAAAATGCATCCAAGAGCACTGTTCCATATACGGTTATGTCAACAACCAGGAACAGACTCACAATTCATGTACATGTATTGAATTTTTAATTTTGATTATACTCTACTTATAAATCCGAATATTTAAAAAAAAACCTTATTAAATGAAATAACTACTTCTTATTTAAAAACAAAATAAAGAAACACCACAGTTTCTGACTTGGTTTAACAACTTGCGTGCAGACGATCTTCAGTATATTCACTACTTGCAAGTCACCTCTTTCTGGGCATAAGCCGTTGGAAAGATTCCTCCAGGCCCCTCTTTCCTGGACAATGCTTTCTATCTCTTTACAGTTCTTGTCCATTATTTTGACGTCTGCCAACAAATCTCTCCGCCAAGTATTCTAGATCTTTGGCCTACCACTCCTATGTTTTTCTTGGAGGGTTCCAAGATAGGGCTTGCCTTGTGATGTTACAGATAGTTTTCGATGGGCACAATTTAAGCAAGAGCTATATCCCGTTGGTCGCCATATTGAAGGTAAACAGGACTGAATTCCTTCGTTATTTAACCAAATTAACTTGTCATACTGAGCAATTAGGGGAAGATAACACAATTTTTCTTCCGACTTTATTTGAGCCGAAATATGGCTGAAATATTGCGGTAAACAATAATATAATCAATCAATCCTTTGATTCGTAATTTTAGGTCATACAGTTGAAAGATTTTTGCCCTTGTATTTCTGCCATACAAGTTTAAAATCGGTTGTTTAAAGAGGAAAATTCGCTTGTTGGATATTTTGTATACTGTTTGTCGTGGTAAAGGTCATCCTCCATTTCTAGGAACCCTAGAGTTGTACAGCCTTAACATTGCTGTTACATAGCTTAACTACAAGTAACTAAAGTTGGCACTAAAAATGCGGAAAACCGGAAATGCTATTTTTGGAAAATACCGCTCTACAATGGAACTCACGGTGATATGAGAAAGTAGTACATGTATATATTATGGCCAGTTGTAAGGCCAAAATTATTTTCATCATTAAATAGATTATATATTTTTAATATACTTTTACTTTGTTAAGTAAGATATAACAGTTACTGTAAAATAACAAATAAATAATGTATAAGTACGAAAAACAACTCGTCCGTATCGCTTATTTCTTGTTTAACAAAGGGATAAAGTACAAGTTAATACTTTCAACATGAAATTATTTTTAAACATGTATATACATGTGTATACTTTAAATCGTTTAACAAAATAAATGTAAAACAATAACTTTAGATACCAAAACAAATTTTTCGCATCAATTATAATGTCTAACTACAAAGGGATTTGTCACAAAATATTTTCATTATAATTACATTTTGTTTTTAATTTTTTATTTAAGAAAAAAAGCGGAAAAAAGTCCATATAGATTCCCGGCATCAAACGTCAAAGCCCTTAAAATGTAAATAAAATTCTTTTTTGACCTAGGTATACCGACCCTCATGTGGACCGGACCTAACACAAACGTTCTGTCATAAGAGTTACTCTTGCATATCTGTAAACGAATCCTGCTACAACCAACCACGTGGATCTTACTGGCAGACCAAATGTGGAACAGGGACAATCTACAGTCTAGCACTTGGAAAGTGTGTTAACATGGCAACGGGAACCGTAGTGGAGAAACCGCCTGTCTCAGACTTTTCACAGATGCCAATTCAGACGTTTGACCTCGTTCACGAGTTTACATTCACCATAAGCACTGGAAGAAACTTTTACACTGTTCCAGACGACAAACTCTTCATTATGGATCCTGCTGACGTCATAGCTATTAAAGAAGAAAGTGGCCAATTTGAACTTTTAGACCCTCTTGATAACTATAAAGAATTTTACTGGAGCGTCGGGGGAGATTGGGAATCCCGTGCTACGAATGGGTACTCAATATCCAGCACAGGTGTCAACACGATTTCAGCTAGACATGCTGTGCGGACATATTTTGCCACACCTGTACGTGCAAAATTCAGACATACCTACGCGGGGGTCATGGCTGACTACAAGAACATAACTATAATGGCATCAAATGCTGTAACTCAGCCTCCAGTTACATATGTTCGAGAAATTGAACTTCAAATTGTTATTTCTGGTGTTGATATTGACGCCCCTGCAGTAGGCAAGTACATGTATTATTCTGGAAATTTAAAATTATGTTGAATCATTAAAATTTACTTAGATTACATAATGCTCTCTGATATTAACCCTAGTTTAGAATATCTGATATCACATAGTATATGTATAACCTAATTTCCTTGACTTTAAGCTATGAATTCTCATACAAAGAGCTTTTGATACGATGAGTTCTTTTAAAATGGTCTCCCGCGTGGCACAGTGGTTAGAGTGTCTGCTCTAGAGTCACGAAGTAAGGAGTTGATCCTTACGTCGCTGGTTCGAATCCTACTAAGGGACGTGGAGACCAGTCCTTTGGATGAATCCGTATAAACCGAGGTCCCGTGTCGCAGTAAGTACTGGCAGGAGTAAGATCCCTCACTACTCAATGGCCCTGAGTGCCGAGAATAGGACAAAATTTGCAGCTCTCCAACCGCAACTGGTGGCGTCTCCATATGAGTGAAAAACTCACGAGGGGGACGTAAAACAATATACAATCAATCTTTTAAAAGGCTCGCATATCGATAGCTAACATTTATGCATATGCTTCAATATTTTGATACATGTAAGTCAGAAGCCAGACATGGATCCCTCACAAGTAGCAAGTTTCACTGATTTTTTTTTTTAAATATTGACCCGTTAATGATCCATAATAAAACGGAGTTAAAGTTACTTCACTGTAATACTAAGTAAAAAGGAAGCGATACAATTTTATATATCCTATCAGTGAAAATCATCGAATTTAACATTATCATGTAGGCGCAACGAATGAAACGATAGAATTGAAGATTCCTCCCCATACTGGGACCAAAGTTCTTTACACCTGGAAGTTTGGAACAGGTGACACAATGAACTCTACCGATAGGACCATGAACTATACCTGGACAGATGCAGGTGTCTACACAATCATAATGACTGCAGAAAACAAAGTCAGCAGCGTCAACAAAATGGTGAGTAAAAATATTAACATAGTTTTGTCATGTTTACCTGAAAAGTACCTGGATCTATTACGTATACAAAAGTGAGTAAAGAGTTTCTAGTTTGGGTATATGTACAGCAATTCAGTGAGTAATTGTTAAGTAGGTTCTAGTTTGGGTATATGTACAGCAATTCAGTGAGTAATTGTTAAGTATGAAGTGTAAAAATAACGAACAATGATCATGCTCATAGTTTATTTGAACAATAATGATTGAAAGCACTGCCAAAATGGACCAAAGAAAACATTTGCTGCATGAGCGTTGATACAGCTTTATACTAGATATTAGAATTAAAACTGAATATGAATAAATATCATCAATGAATTTCATTTGTTTTAGTTTGTGATAACAATTCAAGATGAAATACTGAATTTTACGACTGAAGCTGAAAGCATTGCTACCGTGTTTACAGAAGATACCAAAGTCCTTTGGAATATAACTCAAGGTATAACAATTCTGATGAAAATATAAAGATCTTAGTCGTAAATCACCATTATTGAGCTTACTGGATTTGTTTTTGTCCAGGTACTAATGTTAGCTATCATCTATCAATGGGAGACGGTGTAACGTTTGTCTACAGCTATCCGTTCCATGGGTATCTTTGTGATGAGGCGAATTTGAACGATTCTTGTAGCATTGTCTATGGTAATCTAAACTGCACAACTACATGTAATGGGACATCTACAGGTAAGGGGATATTTCACTCAGTACCACATGGACTTACACCATTTGATTTGCGTTTTATGCATCGTTGAGTTTTTGGATAGAATTTTAATTACATCAGATAAAAAAGTAGGAGGATTAGGATTTTGAAGGAATTAAAAGATATATTTGTAGTTAAAATGTAAGTATTGAAAAGAGATTGCTCCTTTTTTAAAAGGAAAGTAATGATATAATATTGTTTTATCTAGTATACATAAAATTATTTTGTCTTCGACCAATTATTTTTGCAAATATGTATGATTGTCAATAGGCATCTACTTAAAGTAATGTACTGCTTTTCAGGAATGGAAGGCTTTGTTTCATACTATTATACAGACCCAGACTGGTACACGTTCACGATAACGGCATATAACCTCGTAGGAAACAGCACTGTTGTATTAAATCTACCGGTACAGATTCCTATTTCTGGTTTCTTTATCAATGAGACTGACCCTATACCCTTTGGTACATCTAGGGCAGTTCCAATGTTAACTGACGCTGGTACTCATATAGATATGGAGGTCTCGATGAATGGATCTCTTCTGAATACGTCGTATTTTGATTGGGCATTGAATTCTGGTGAGGCTATAATTAACACAGTCAACTACAACTGGACAGGGTATTACATAATTGAAGCAAATATTACGAACCTTGTCAGCCCTACCCATTCATTTGAAAGGGGGGTTTGGATAGACTTTCTTATCACAAATTTGTCGGTAATTAATGACAGACCCTACGTACCTGTGGGTGAGAATACGACGTTTGATATCGGAATGGACTATTGCTCTCGGTTTAATTCGTCCATTCTGTATGCAGATGGTTCACCTCTTGAGTCCCTATACATGGACTTGATTGTTAGCCCTCAACGGTTCAATTTTTCACATATATTTACTGCACCGGGAATATATGGTGTTAATTTCTCAGTTGTGAATCCCGTTGATTATCACAGTAGCATTCATAATGTATTTGTACAGTATCCCGTGAAAAATGTCGAGGTTTTTATGAGTACTCCAGTAAAACTAGAACCAGTCGGTGTCGTCCCTGTGAAGTTTGTGTTAACTTTCCTAGGTGGTGTTCCTCTCGCAACGGATGCAAGCTATTATGTAGACTTTAATGATAGTAACACGGCAACAGATCTCTTTGAGGAACCTCCAACCCCAAGTACAACGCCTTTACCAACAGAGGAACCTATGACAGGGCCGGATTGTGCTGCTCTCTTAGATTTACTTCAACAATCTTTAAATACATCCGATTTTGATGGAAACAATAGCACAAATGTAACGAGTCCATCTACGATAACGGAAGAAGAATACCAACTTCTTTGCAACACTTCTGTAACAACACAGTTCACAACTTCCATGATTATTACCACACCAGACCGTATGGAAGGTTTCTTTGAAATAATTTTCTTTCATGACTACACAAAGCATGGAACATACGATGTTGCGATAAATATCTCAAATTTGGTGGATTTTAAATTTTTTCCATTGATTCTTGACGTTGATGAACCTATCTACAATCTAGATTTTACACCAAGTGTTGTGTATGTTCCCATTAGAACTAATTCAGACCTTGTTGTTAGCATGTCATGGGGTTCTCGAGCAGAATGTACAATCAATGTTGGTGATGGATCGCCTAATTATGTTAGCCCATGCAACAGAACAAACCCAATGTCAGTATCGCATTATTTTGATACTGTTGGTGTTTTTTATGCAAATGCAATAGGGAATAACACAGTCAGCACAGAATACACATCTTCTTCTTTGGGACCCATTTACGTGCAAATTCCTGTATCAGGGTTTGAGGTCAAATGTCTGGTTTGTTCAAATGATATAGGCCCTCCCACCTACCCAACATACAATACAAGTGTGAGTTTTGAATTCCTCTTCGACAATACTCAGGAGAGACCTACAAATGCATCTTATACGATTGACTACGGTGATGGGACAGAAACACCAGTACAGCCTCTACCAGAAACATTTGTAGCTGATAATTACGGTGGTGGAAAATCTCTTGTATTCCGTTTCCAGCATTTTTATTTAAAAGGTGGTAACTACACAGTTATTGTAAATGTATGGAATCTAGTTAGTAATGTCAATTTCACATGTTTACATGATCTTTATGAAGCGATTGTCAACCTACGTGTAACAGTTTACGATTACAACCCAGACATTGGTGTTTCCAAGATAGGGGGCGGTCCTAATAACAACTATTTTGCTCTGGAACATCAAGTTCTTTTTGTTGCTTCACATGATAGAGGATCCCATGTTACGTACCACTGGGAATATGGAGATGGTTCAGCTTTAGAATCTATATACTACAATCAAAACACCTTTCATGAATACCCTAATGATACTACATATCACATTATTTTAAACGCAACAAATAAATTTGTGGGTAGACACGCCAATACAGGATCAACAATTCATATTCAGAGGGGTTGCTTTAATATATCAATATCTACTGACGACCCTCGGTCGAAGAACACAACATTTGAGTACCAGATGTTTCCGGGTACCATTGGATCTGACGCCTGTTATTTTTTCGACTTTAAGGATGACACATCTGAACCAAGTCGGTATTTAATGTTTGGCGATTCAGGCTTTTGTGCTTTGGTTCCTGAATGGAGTTGGTACTGGAACGATCCAAATAAAGAATTTATTTCTCGTCCCTCTGATCCATGGTATGCCAATAAACTGGCGAATCCCAACAACTTTAACATGACAATACACAATGCATTTATGTTTGAAGGTGCCTACGATGCAACGCTGGAATGTAAAAACTACGTTTCCCATACCAGTGTGATATATACCACAGGTGTAACGAAGGGTCCTTGTTGGTGGCCTTATGTCAACTTGACAGCCCCCAACATCTGTCAGCCGCCTGCATGTGATTCTGTTTTTCCTGAAATGAGAACAAATCTAAAATCTGAGAATCTGATTGTATATTCCGATGTGATCATTAACTGTACATCGACTAAAGTTGCTTACTATTCCTGGTCGGTTTTCAAAATTGATGAAACTTATGGAAACGAAACTCAGATTACAGAGCTTGGAGGTGCTGATGTGTATTCCATTGGAGCTAGGTATCTGCAGTTGGAACCACGTATCCTTGATTATGGTCTATACAGATTTGAGTTGAACGTCAGCATGAACGAATTGATGGGAATGTTTTCTATCGATTCTGTTAAACTAAGAATAGTGGCTACGCCATTGAAAGTGTCTATTGCTGGTGGAGACTTTATACAAACACAATGGGGTAGTGAGACCCCTTTAGTTCTTGATGGTTTCACAGAAACTTTTGACCCTGATGTAGCACCAGAAGACAAAAACGGGATGGAGTTCATTTGGATATGCAGAAGGTTGTGTGAAAATTGGCCAACGTTTGACGCAGATTATAATCCAATCTCGTCCTTTACCCATAATTGCACATACCAAGATGATGCTGATAGAGGTTGTTCAAAGATCGATATGCTTAATTCACCAGGTACGAATGCAGTTATTGAAATTAACCGTTGAACAAATTAAACTGTTTATTTTTAAAAATCTTTTTTGGACAATTGTTCTTGTATATCCCTATGTTCAGCATATTTGGAACTCAAAGATATAATTACATATTTTAGATAGGCTATAAGATATAAAAAGATGTTCTAATTTTTTGGCAGGAAAAATGCCTAATGCATCTGACGGTGAGGTTATCATTTATACTGGGGAAATGTATGAATTAGACTACGTTGAAATAAAACTTATCGTGCGAAAGGACAACAGACAAGCCGAAGACTATTTAGTCATGTTCATAACGATGGGAAATCCTCCCATTATTAAAATAAAGTAAGAGTTGAGCTTTATTTTTTCGATTACAGAGCAATACCAAGAGAAATATGTATTGAATTACACATTTTGATTATTATTTTTAAATATTTAAAGATGCGTCACAAACTGTGGTCCAAAAATGAATCCAACTAGTCGCTATTCTTTGGAGTCTCAAATTGATGGTTGGACAAGAGGGGCATTTTTCTACTACAGGTAAGATTAATTTTTTGACAGTATGGAAGATAGTCAGGATATGCTGTACTTCTTTTGCACCTTTTTGCATAATTGTTGTTATTCAATTATTGTTTACATCGACCAATTTGCAATCGGTATTCAGAATTGTGAATGATTTGTACTTTTAACTTAAATCTTTTACAGTTTTAACTCGGGTGACTGTAAAGGCCCTTGAACATATTGTTTTGTTTTTACTTTTTGTCCCCCGCTTGAAAAGTGGGGGATATTATTTGGGTCTGTCCGTCCGTCCGTCATTCTGTCTGTCTGTAAAGCTTCCGTTTCCACACGATATCTCGAGAACCCTTTGAGCTTTAGCAATGAAATTTTGCATATCAACTTCCAACAGACTGAAGAAGAAACCTATTGATTTTGAGGTCAAAGGTCAAGGTAATAAATTCGCAAATTTTGTCTGTTATAACACTTTCGTTTCCGCGCGATATCTCGAGAACCCTTTGAGATTTTGCAATGAAATTTTACATAACAACTCCCTGTGGCCTAAGGAAGACCCCTATTTATTTTGAGGTCAAAAGGTCAAAGTGCAAGGTCGTAAATTTATACATTCATAATAAATTTATACATAACACTATCCTTTCCAGGCGATATTTCAAGAGGATTTTGAGCTTTTGCAATGTAATTTTGTACCAAAACTCCCTAGGACCTCTCTCACCCCTCTCAAAGTGTCCCGCCCCGTTTGTTTTATTAGTATTTATTGTATTACATGTCGCTATTTTTAGCACATGGGCATGAGGAGAGTTATAACGTTTAAAACAGGTTTTCGGCGGACTTTATATTCTTATTACATTAGAACTGTTTAATAAAGGTTAAATTAGACACCATGCATTGTGTAAAATTTTGACAATATCGAACGTGAATATATAAATACATGTATGTGACTTCACCTTTGCATATAATAGTCGCCAGAGTAAAGCAGTTCCGTGGTCTAGTGGTCTAGTGGTATGTCTCTCGCTTCACATGTGAGAGGACCCGGGTTCGATCCATTTTCTTTTTTTTTCGAAATCTTTTTTTTAACTAATTAATAGTATTCAGCATGTGAAATAAAAAAATTATATGGTCTGACTTGTACAAACTCATAAAATCATCATTACAGTGTGATAAATATTTCATATAGAAAGAATCTGCCATACATATATTAAAGAATATTAAGCAATCAAATCTTTATATGCATATTGACATTCATGTATTTTATTTGCTTCAGTACACATTTAATAATTCTACAAATTCCGTCAGGGGGATCCGACTTTTTCCCTAAGCACGGGACACGAATTCTCTGAATTAGCTTGTTTAAACAGTTGTATCATTGTTGCGGTGTTTTTCCTTTGAAGATCGCTGTGTTTTTATTTTTGATACATCATGCCTAACTAAGATTTAACAACTGTGATCTATCAAGAAAGAGAACGCCAGGGTGATGATGAAACAATTCTAATAAACGACCCATGACCTTACACCGAATAGTTAGCGGAAAAGTATTCAAAGTTATGTAAACATAGTGAAGGAATACCTTCCCTAAAATAAAAAAAAATTATTTTTCTCATCGATTTTTAACTCCAAAATGAAATTCACAGAGCGGGTTTAGAAATTAATGTTTTTGACTCTCATAAACTTGAAGCGTAACAAAACACACACAATGAATTACATGTACAGGAAATAAGGTAAATTTTATATTCGGAGCCGTCTTGTATTATTAATTCGAACAAAAATCGACCCATCAAGTAATTTAAAGAATCGCCGTACATCGGTCAAAAGTGTCCATTTTCCCGTGCGGTATTCCTCGAACGTTTAAATTGCTCATTTAGTATTTTTACGAGTATAAAGATTAAGTGACGTAATGAATTTACCTTCATAATTTCAATTTGCATCGAAAATTGCAATTGCATAAAATCACAACCGTCTTCCATGGCGTTCAGACTTAAATGGCGGGGTAATCCAAAGTTTAAGAAATGCAGCGCGCTATATACTTTTCGAATCACGTGCTTCTTTTTCATTGGTCAGATAAAATTGTATGATGAAAATTTGATAGATCATGGCTAACTCAATGCGTGAGAATGCAGTCGAAGTACGTGCTATTAACGTAAAAGTGATAGAGCATGGGTAACTCAGTTCCTGGGATCAATGATACAAAACATTTAGAGTACCTTTTAACTCGTGCATCTTCAGATATCACAAGCCCCCTCGTCTGATATCTGAAGATACACTCGTTAAAAGGTACCCTATATATTACCAAGAACATACAAAGGTCTGAGTTAATGAGATTTTTTAACAAATATATAACCAGAATAAAACTTACCAGCTGAAAAATTTGTAAAATGCAAACATTCTCAAACGGTTTTGATTGATTGATTGTATATTGTTTAATATCCCTCTCGAGAATGTCTCGCTTATATGGAGACGCCAAACAGTTTTGAAATCAAGCTTAATCGATTATGCCAGACCCCGGAAACAAAGCCCTTTGTTTTCTCTTTATGCATTACTTTTCTTCGATAAACTTGGTTTTTAATTTAATGTGTTTGATATATTTCTTTATGTGTCCTGATTCTGCAAATAGAATTCATTCAATTGTGATCATTGAATTTGCTAAAACCACGACCCAGGGACGCAGAGAAGTGCCTTGACAGAGTCAACTTCAAATTTATAATAAAGTGTATAGCTTATTTTGCCATTGTATCTCATTTTTGTTCATTTACAGGTGGACACTATATGGTGTACCCTGGGGAAGTAGGTATTACTTCAACAGAAGGATGGTCTCGGAGTCTGAATGGATAAACCAAGCCACCACTGGGTCTGAAGGACCCCACATGGCGGTAGAACCCGTTGTAGCACGATTCACAACAAACAGCTCTTACAGCTATTACTTCTCTGTCAAAACCTGGAGATGGGGAACCAGCGAGGCGTATTGTGGTATAAGTCGTACAATTTACTTAATATAATATTTTAAATGTGCAAACATAATAATTTTCTCTTTAGATCGCTGTTGCCATAAAATTATTTTTTTAGTTAGTACATAAAATTTTTCAACGTGAAATCAAGTTCAACTTATATGTATATGTATTAAATGATTCATTTATTGATGGGGATACATCAAAACGTTAATTATAAAACTTGTTCTAAAAATCAACATTATGTTTAGTCTACCATACATGTTTGGGTTTATAAGTGCCCGTAGTTCATTTTTATATTCCAAATAGCCTCTTTATTCAGAATATTGTAATTATCTTCGGAAATATTTCTGATTTTTATGTTAATTAATGATAGAAATGAAATAAATGATAGGTATTTCGGAGATCAACTTCAGAATCAATGAAAAGCCACGGTCTGGGAGAGCTACTGTATCCGTTTCCCCTGGCTCTGGTATAGCCTATGAAACGAAGTTTACTGTGACTGCCAGTGGATTCACTGACTATGAGGACGGCTCCAGAATGAGCTTCTATAAGTTCGGGTACAGATTACAAGCAGGAAGTCTGATAACATGGTTTCACGAAGGAAGTAAGCATTTCTTCTATCTCATAGTATCTTGATCCATATCTCAATTGGAATATTTTTAATGAGTCAATGTATACCTCTGTATTGTTATGACATTGCATTAACTTTGTATTTGAATAGCAAGACCTGATAACCTTGGCTTCCAAAATCCATTTCCGGCCGGACTGGAGTCAGAAAACTTCCAAATTAGTATTGTTGTTAGAGCTTATGACCGAAGCGGAGCATATGCAGAAAAGTGGAAAACAATTACGGTAAAAAAAAAATATGTTTGAATATCTTTCTAGTTAGCAACGTTTACCATGATTATTGGTCTTTCAGATGGTCCTTAGTCAGCACGCTTGAAACTTGATGTCGGTTTCCCTATATCTAAAGATTACAACTTCAATAATATACCTGGTCTAATATAATAAATTATGAAAACGTTAGTTGACCTGCATCTGTCTTCCCAGTTGAATTTATATTTGTTTCTTTCTTCAACAGTTATCCATTTTTTTTAACTGATAAAATTGGTTATAATTTTAAGAAATTTATTTTTCCTGCATCCGGTTTCATTTCAAGGTGACTATGACTATTCATTTCACATTGGACTAAAACTATATCAAGAAATTTCAGAATTATATTCCTGTTTAAATGGAATATTTTAATCTCGCTTCTCTCAGTACTGGGTAAGACTTCAACAAATGGATTTCCACTGAGCGATTTGAAGACCGGTTTTTGGTAAAAAAACAAAACAAAAAAACCCCAGATCTTTCGCGAAATAAGTCGCACAAAGGGGATCAATCATTGTCTGCTTTATGATAACAACTGCTGAATGTAGGGCTAAATTTACGATTGCGGGTCCTCTTTAGTTAAATGTTCCTAAAAACGACATAAAGCAAAACAAATGAACTAACAAAAAATTGAACAACCAATTCTCAAAATGTTTCTTGCTTGTTGTTAACATAACTGTATATATATTTTTAGGTTCAACCACCACAACCCTCGAACGTTAAAAACGTCATTGCCACTGCTACCGAACCCGGGGGACAAATTGATAAATACCTTATAGGAGCTGATATTCGAGTGGCACCCATGTCTTTGAGTCTCGCTAAATTTCTTAACGAAGAGGCAAATGGCGCGCTAACTACTGCTCAAGTTGTTGAGACAACAAGTAAATATAACACATATACGTAAGCTTATCAGTAAATGATAATGGCATTTTTTTCTATTCACATATTCTAACTAGTTAACCATACTTTTTTAACACAAGCATTTTTTTTTACAATTTTATGGGTTTAAGTGTTGATTATCATATTGTAAATATCAATTTAATTGTTGTTGTTTTTTTGCTACAGCTTCTATTGCACAGGCTCAAAATCTAACAGAAGCTGAGCGGCTTGCAATGGAGCAAGCAGTTCTACAACAACAAGCTGCAGAAAAAGAAAACCGAATTCAGGCAAGCCTCTCTTCCTAAACTATTTTGGTACTTCTTTTCAAATCACGGTCGCACGCGTGGCGCAGTGGTTAGAGCGTCTGCTCTAAAGTCGCGAAGTAAGGAGTCAATCCTTACGTCGCGGGTTCGAATCCCACTGTGGGACGTGGAGACCGGTCCTTCGGATGAGACCGTATAAACCGAGGTCCCATGTCGCAGTAGGTGCCGGCACAAAAAAAATCCCTCACTGCTCAATGGCCCTGAGTGCCGAGTATAGGACAAATCTTTTAGCTCTCCACCGGCAAGTGGTGGCGTTTCTATATGAGTGAAAAATTTTCGAGATGGACGTTAAACAACATACAATCAATTAATCAAATCATGTTGTACACGTGTTTTTCCTTGGATGGGTGATCAAGTATGTGTTAATGTTTTCTCTTTAATTTTAGACACGGGCAACTCTTTTGAATGGATTCAAAAGAATCAATCCTTCTAACGTGGAGGCTATGCACTGTGAAATTCTTTCAAAATGCACTGATTTTGATATAACAAGTAGACTACACTAAGATAGGACAGCAGCAGCACTCGCGGAAATGTCTGTGAAAGAGGACGAACTGACAATAACAGCTCAAGTAAATTAATTTTTTTAATCAAAATCTAATTTTTGGGGTGATTATTTCTTCTGCAACATTTACTCCTTTAAGGTTAAATTTAAGCAAACCTATCACGCTGAAATGATAAAAGAATACGTGGGAAAAATAAATCTAAACTTTAATAAAACTATTATATTGTTACATAATTAATAGAATGCCTATTTTTTTCTCCTCACACAACTGTTATAGAAGTAATATCGAAATTGAATAACTACAAATAAAGTGGATATTACAATCATAACATTATGAATTTGCAACTGGACTTTAGTATTTTTGAGAACAATTACAAAATTGGAGAGGTGTTCGTTGCCCAAATTAAGGTGTGTATCTTGGAAATCTATATGTGTATCACAGAGTACTAGTATGTCTGAACGGAAAAAAAAGAAACTAAAATCGAATGTTTTGAGCCAAAGAAAAATTTTTCACAGGTAATTTTTTTATTTTAGATATATATTTTAATTTACCACAAGAACATTTAGCAATATCATTTTAATTTTCCATTATTCCTATCGTTCATATATTCTCTGAACAGGAAGACGCCGCCAGTATAATGGAGGATTATGTAGTAAAGCTAAAAGGACAGACGAGTCTCTCAGCAGACGACAGAGAGGACGCCACATCTAACCTTATATCTGTCATAGGTAGGTTACGAACTCAAATCATTACTAATTTGTATCTGTAATAAATCATATTACCACTTTATATTGTCAACTTATATGACATGGTGGTGTCAAACGATTTTCTTGTTTCCTTGAGTTTTTATCTGTCGTAGGTCAGGTTACTACCGTATATATTACAAGTAAGCCAGCTTATCTTTCATTGGTTGGTTAATGACATATCTCTCACATGTCTTTCTACATGTACTCAGCGTGGGGCCTTTGTTAGAGAGTAACAAAGTAAGGTTTCTTGGTATGAATCCCACTGCGGGAAGTGGAAACCGGTCCTTTGGATGAGACCATTTAAAGCGAGGTCCTGTATCGCAGAAGTTGCTGACACGAAAAAAAAAATCCATTCCTTGCTGCAAAATAGCTCTCAGTGCGGTTGAGTTTCTAGGTTTTAAACCCATTTCGGGAATTGGATACCGATTCTTCGTATGAGACAGCATAAATTGAGGTCCCTAATCGCAGAAATTGCTGACACAAAAAAAATTCCCCCACTGCACAATAGCCTTTAGTGTAAAGTATAAGTCTATATTTACAGTCCTTCATCGGCAAAATATGGCTCTCGACATTAGTCTGGACTGGGGTGTTTAAAAAACATTCTAAATATCTTTCATTTATCATAGGTCATTGATAACCTTGAATCAGTTACCACCTTATATCGGCATAGGTCAGTGTATATCCTAAAATTGGTTACGGGCTAGACATGTCTATCACAAGTCAGGTTAATACCCATATATCCGTCATGTGTCAGCTTAGTACCCTGTATTTATTAGTATTTTACCTCTAAATATAACTGATATTTTTTGTAATATACAGCAAATAGATAAAACAAATTAAGTCTTGAAAAACAAAAATGACTTATAAACAATGTTTCAATGTTTGGTAGGCAATACAATGCATGCCGCTGGGTTGACCGCTGAATTAGCTGAAGAAGAAAGCACAAATTTAGCCAATATGGTTGAAGCTGCGACAGCTGGAATTGTATCCACCACACAAGCCACCACTCTCTCTCCTGAACAAATAAAGGCCCGCCAGGATCAATTGTTGAATGAAAAGAATAGTGTACGTAGAATTAAATTACAAGTATCCACTTTTCAATCGAATCTTGACCTTTTCTCTTGAGTATTGCATTGTTAATACAGACTTAAGGTTCCCATGTTATTTTTATATTTTTATCAAACAAAATATATCAGATATTAAAACACGCAAAAAACGAGGTCAATATTTTACCTTTTGTTTCGTATTTTTCGAATTAAAATTTTGTAACACCAACTTTGATATTTTAGGCAAAGAGTACATTTTTGAGACTTGAGCAGTCTCTAAATAACATCATTAACACTCTTGGAAAATTCAAAGTAGTTGGCGAGAAAAATGCAGTGGTGGAATCCCCAAAGCTTAATGTTACTCTGGCCAAGACGGAGACTAAAGATATGAACTACAGTAAGTTAACATTACTTCAAGATCAGTTACAGTTACTACAAGCAATCTTTTAAACAATCATCCAATAGATATTATTTTTCATTTATATTATAGATCCAAACTTTGGCGTTGGAGGTTTGAGTGGTTTTTTGTTACCAAAAACGCAAGCTATTTTTGGCGAGGAAGGTAATGCAACGACTTGGTTTGTCGAAACAGAGGTATGTTCAATCAGTTTTTTCTACACTATTAGCCTTGATGTCAGTATTTGAAAAAAGTAATTGCATATCACCTGCTACTGTGTTTCATTTATCCGCAGGCATTGAGAATGCCCAACAACCCGTTCACATGGACAAATGCAAGTGGCTCTACTTCCACAAGAATAACCAGTGATGTCATCTCCTTAAAATTCAGAAACGACACAAATGAAGGCGTAGATGTAAAGGATGCCCCACAGTACTTTGATATTTTTATGGATCGACAGAATTTCGATACCACAGTGCAAAACGTCATTAACTTGACTAGAAGTTGGAGTGAGCCTTCTGTATATCATATTCTGCCCGTGGCACCCAACAGTTCCTTGCATATCACAGTCAACCAAATATTCAAACCAGAAGATATACAGTATTACTTAGACTGGCTTGATTTTGTTGCTGGGGTCTCCGCAGACGATAATTCCACGGAGGAACTAGATCCTAATGTTACAGATACTAGCCTACCCAAGGGGGCTGCCGCCTTCTACATGGAGACGAAGCCCTCCCTATTTTTTGTATTTATCAAGTAAGGTGTTAATTTTGTTTTGTTTTACAAAAACGCTTTTATTAAGAATTATTCAGCCTATTGGCATAACAGTAGATTTGTCTTTTTAATTATGTCCTTTTCATGTAATTGATTTATTTTATTCTGTAAAAAATTATACTGTAATTTTATTGCCGAATAAAACAATTTTACGATTTATTTTGGACATCTTAGTCAATCGGGTAATTATTTCCGTCACTTTACAGCTTTTTTTGTAAAGTTGATTAAAAAGTTTAACATAACTTACTGCATCACTACAAAAATAAATGTGTACAGTTGGCGCGGTACAGTACTATTGAATACTAATTTTGTTAAAAATGCGTATATTATACATTATTTTAATTTTTATTACTATAAGATATCCATGAATAAATCAGCTAATTGGTGCCCTTTTGATAAATCAAATATCTTTGTCAAAACACTAAAAATAGATATAATTAATTTAGACGTGCATTTACACGTATTTTGCTATTTTGACTTATAGGTTATTTTGTTTTTACGGAGAGAATTATTATAATTTATTATAATTTATTAAAATTTAAAGGTATATATAATTTATTATAATTTATTATAATTTATTTATAATATTATAATTATTATTTTAATTTTTATTACTATAAGATATCCATGAATAAATCAGCTAATTGGTGCCCTTTTGATAAATCAAATATCTTTGTCAAAACACTAAAAATAGATATAATTAATTTAGACGTGCATTTACACGTATTTTGCTATTTTTTACTTATAGGTTATTTTGTTTTAATCAGGTCGGAGAGAATACTCGAAATCGGGTATTATCCGTGAAATCGCGTATAATACCCGATATTAGGGTATCGTTGAATCCGCGAAATCGGGTATTCCGTGCAACTTTCATTAAAAACAAAAGAATAAAGGAACGGCGCATTATGCCAGTTACTGTTACTTGTACATCAGTATCTTGTGGATTTATTTTTATTAAACCTAATTTATATGGTTGTCAAATAAGTTTAAAATCACACGACAAACACTGCTGGGGTAACAAAGAGTACACAATGGCGTTATTTTTTTCAATATAATTTCTAAAAACAAACAACTACACTTCATTTGTCTTTATTTCCCATTAAAGTATTCCATATACTTACTTTTCTAATTTGTTCACTATTCACAAAATGTGAAACTTTAAAGAAATTGAACGACTAATGCCGTGTTATGTATTTTTACTGAAAAATGTATGGAGTCCCTTTCACGTGAAATATAAATTATTCCTAACAGTTAGAGAGTGCAGTATAAGCGAGTCATAATTGTATGTTTCTGCCATAATAGAATACCAACGTTATTATAAAGAAGAAAATAAAATATGATTAAATAAATATCCACGGGAAAACAGTTTGAAACTAGCTAATTGAAGGTGATTATCTTTTTTATGTCAATTTAGCATGGAAATTTTTATTCAAAGACACCGTAAATTTTTTGGTTACATTTTAATCGATACAAGAGATGCTATTTTACCTTTATTTTATGCATTTGTGTGTGAAAATTGAGAGCGAGAAATCATGTGAACAGGATTTTCTTGTTTTATTTAATTTATTTTTTTTTGGGGGGGGGGGGGGTATAAATAAAAGTCAAATGTGTACATCTTTTCATGAGCTTCTAATACATTGAATTTCTCAATATAGGTCGAGGTACAGTCATTTTCAAATATGAATTACATAGTCAAGTTTTCACATTTCTTATAGTTTTTACGTTTATGAACATGTTAATGAACAAACTGAAATAATCGAGTGTTCAGTTGCACCTTGGAAACTCCTGTCTTACTTTTGGGGAATATAATCCCTCATCGCACATTAAAATTTCATAAAAATTGTAACCACTTCCTTTCTTTATTATACTATTTGATAGACAGGTTTGATTTTACGCATTTTTTTTATATCGCTGTCTTAAAACCTCATTATAATATGCTATACAACGCACTATCTGAATGGTTCTATACATCACTATGTCACATATATCTGTGATACTTATTTCTCATGGCAATAACTTTTCCTAATACTCATCTATAATGAAAAAATGTGTTAAAAAATAAACATGAATTTTAGTTACTTGTAGTATCATATTGTGTTAGAAAATAACAGGTTGCTTTTTGTTTACCTTTATAATTTTTATTTGATGAATAAATATTCCCTACAATTAAAAATATATAACCGAGTTTTAAAGACCATGACATTCAAAGACATATAGCAAAAAACTTTGCATTAACATTTAATTCAATGATTGCGAAAGTGAAGGTCTCTTGGACACATGCAGAACACAGTCGAGGTTGTTTTGTCAGAGGTGGCCAAGAAGCCTTTAGCCCCCCCCCCCTTTTTTTGAAGTCGCCAAGAAATGGTAAAATATCGATGACTTAGCGAAATTAAACTATCAACAGTTATGTTCTCTCATAAGCTGTATTCCTGAAACTATCACTGTCTCTGCTAAAATGTTCAAGACATATTCTGCAAATATGTATGAATGATAAAAAAAAAAAGATTTTCAAAAAAAAAAAAGAGAAAGAGGGATTTTTTAGCCGGAATTTTAGACATTTTTATCATTACATTATTTAAACATTCATAAATAAATTTGATTTTATGCACAAGATGAATGTGAAAGTAATTAATGACGCATAACGAGATACGATAGACAATCCCTTGTTTATACATGGCATTATATCTTGTGTGTGAAATGTGTTTCCGTATAATTTGATTTATTTACAAATTGTTCATGTTTGTCGTGTTGATGTGGAATTATTATAAATTCCCGAATTCTGATACTTTGGAATTCTGTTGTGTTGGGAATGAACATATGAGGAAGATGCATATACTTTCGACATTACGAAAAATATAAAGCAAATCGAACGCCTTTTTGTGTGCAGATCATGAAATGTACTGAGCTCCACAGGTATTTGTTGTCCTGAGCGCATTAATCTTGACGCCCAAATTCTTACTTGGCTAGTGATACCTGTAGAAAACATTTCTATCTAGATGAAAGTTGACTAGACAGCATGCGCCATCCCATTGTTTAAGTTTTATTAGGTGATTACACCGTCTATACCCGATTTCGCGGATTCAACGATACCCTAATATCGGGTATTATACGCGATTTCACGGATAATACTCGATTTCGAGTATTCTCTCCGACCTATTAATTGTGAGTTTTATTTTGTGTAATTTTTGTTACAGAATGGGAGGTCCCCCAACACCGGAGGATCATGATTATAACTGCACTTTGCCGAAAACATTGGATGAGTTTCTGTCCATGTTGGATTACATGGATGCTCTATCGTATGAAAATGACACGTCTCTTCCAAGGTCCAACTACCTAACAGAGCTTCCAGACTGGAACACGTGCTTGTTCTCAAATGACGAATTAAGCCTGTAAATATTGATATAAATAAGTTCATTGTTACATTTTTGACAATTTCTTTCACACAAAATAATATCCTATAACTAGGAAAGTGCTGTTAATATTCTGTTTTTGTGTATGCTCCTTTTTTATCATACTCCTTTTTTCAGAACGTACATTTCAGTCAATATATATTACATGCATTTTCATTTTCTTTTAAGAAATGAAACAACGGATTTCTATATTGCCATTAAACATAAGACATATGAACAACTAGAAGCAGAGGCTGCTGGTGAATTTACCACCACAATGTTAACTTCTACCACCAACACTGTGCCTACCACAACAGCTAGTAAAAGGAAAAAGAGATGGGGTAAAAAATGGAAGGGTGGAAAGAAATGGAAAAGTGGAGGAAATAAAGAAAATTCGGCACTAGAAGATGCTCTTCTCGCTCTTGCTGGAACCACAACAACTGCTGCCAGTAAGTGCTGGCCTATAATTTAATTCAAAAACTTTCATTTGTGTTTGAGTTAAAATCCACTTTATCATCAAAGGCTTCTTTTTCTTTAGGTACAACAATGGGTGCTGGTGGTACAACAAGTGGTAATGGAAATGGAAATAATAATGGAGGTGGTAATAACAAGAAAAGTAGTGTCGTTTGGCCCCCACCTGGCTCTTATTATCCAGCCGTGTACAACATTTCCTTCTACAGCGCCTCCTGTGTATGGAGAGACAGATCAAAGAGTATTTGGACCACAGAGGGTTGCTTTGTACGTCTAAAAACAGTTTAGCAAAATTTTACATAAATTTGTTGTGGATATTTCTGACAAAAATGAGAAAGAGAAAATGCAGAATATTCATTTGGTAACTTATTACGAACTAAATGAAAAACGAAATTAGAGAAATAAACACATGGTCAAAAAATAAAAATAAAAAGTTGATCCCTCATAATTTAATTACTTAAAGGTTGGTCCACTCTCCAAGCCATACAGAGTACATTGTCTTTGCAATCATCTGACAGCCTTTGGCGCTGGGTTTGCTGTTCCGATGAATTCCTTAAATCTCAATGACTCTGGATTTGCCAAACTTGATGAAAACCCCGTTATATTTGCAACCATGGTCTCCCTGATGTGTGTCTACGTATTGATGTTAATCTGGGCTAGAAAGAGAGATCTGTTGGATAAAGTCATGGTAAGGCAAACTAAGCAGTAGACCTGAAGAACACATACCAATAATCCTTGTCATATTCTATACACATAAGTTAAATGGTTGGCAAACTTGCTAGAATGTAGACTTTTAGCAATTGATAAATTTATTACCAGTATTATATCAATGTTAAGTATTTATAATCATTATAGGTATATTTTACACTACCAATATTATATCTTTCCCTCCATCCCCCAGTGAAACATTGAAAGTTTTGTGAGCTTCGCTATATAAAAATTATGAATACATAATGTTGGAAATATTAATTGATACAAGAGGGAAAATATGGCTTTTGAAAAATATTTATCATTTTCCGTCTATTTTTAATGATAAATTCTTAGGTTTTTACCTTAAAATATTAAGAGTTAGCTTTCTTGTCATGATCGAATAGTTCCAATTATTTTTATTATCAATATTGATTTTTATATTTTAAAAAAATTGTCCTGACGTACCATCGTTAAAAATACGACTTTAAAATAGTTTGCACTCATTTCCAGGCTGGATCATCACCTCTTCCTGATAATGATCCTAGGGACAAATATTTGTACGAATTGACTGTTTTTACCGGTTCAAGGAAAGGTTCAGGTAAGTAAAACGTTACCTATGAAGAATTCGCATTTAATAAACTTATTTCATAATATTTGTTACAGTGTACATGATTTCAAATTATGTAAAAACTTGTACTAAATTTTAAAAAAAGATCCTTTATCATTCTCTGTATTCACATATTTTATGTACACTGTACTGCAATCTTCATTTCATTTAAATTTTTAGAAATCTTAGGAATGCCATCACATTTTCTATTTATTTGAATCTGAAATTTTAATTTTCTTTAAAATAAAACCTTTTAGGAACCACAGCCAATGTTTCTTTTATTTTGACTGGGGAGAAGGCCGAGACACCTCCGCGTTACTTGGCTGACGAGAAACGTCCTGTTCTTCAACGGTCAAATTGTGATGGTTTCATCATGGCAACCCCCAAATCTTTGGGAAAACTTACCCACTTGAGGTAAAATGAATTACATTGTATGAAATGACTTAAACTTTATTTACATGTACATGTAAGAGGTAGCAATCGTTAGTTTAAAATATATTTTATTCATTGGATTGGATTGAATAGCAGGCATAAATGCCTATGATAGTTCTCTCCACAGGTCAAGGTTCAATTACAAGTACATGTAAACATTGACAAAAATGTATGAAGAGTAGATTATCAATTAATACATATTTAGAATGAATTCGAGAGAGAGAGAGAGAGAGTAAAACAAATGAATAGAAAAAGAAGAGGGATAACGAAGGTTCTGTGATTGCACAGCAAAGGACAAGGTATGGTAAGTGCTGAATCTGGGCCCTTATTTGATGTAAAAATCAGAACAAAGTTAAAACTGTGATAGTTTGTAGTTAGATCTAAAATTGATATTTGTTTTAAAACCAGCACTTATTTTAATTCAAAGCATACAAGAAGGCCACAAGAAAGTGCATAAATAGGAGGTATTTTTATGCGCCCTAATCGATAGATTCGGGGCGTATATTGTTTTTGTCCTGTCTGTCTGTTTGTCTGTTGTCAACTTTCACCTTCGCCATAACTTTTGAACCGAGAGAGGTACAGACTTCATATTTGGTATACTTACTCTACTAATTAAGTTCTTTCAAATGACACCAAGGTCATTGACCTTTCGACCTTGACTGTGACCTATATGCTAAAAATAGCTTTTTCAAACTTTTGCCATTCCTTTTGAACCATGGGAGATAAAGTCTTCATATTTAGTATGCCTACTCTACAAATCAAGTTCTTTCAAATGACACCAAGTTCAATGACCTTATGACCTTGACTGTGACCTATATGCTAAAAATAGTTTCTTCGAACTTTGTTGCCGCCGGGCACATAGTGTTTCACAAACACATCATGTTTCAATTCTGATATAATTTCTTCAAATTTGAGATACTTTTCACTTCTGAAAACATAGAGCACAAGCTTGCCTATCTGAGATTTTGACGCACAAGATGCATCTAATACTACTGTATGAACTATATAAATTTGGTAGATAGGCAAGCTTGCACTCTATGTTTTCGGAAAGAAAATGAGCTGAAAAATTTGCATATGAATGAGACAATTTGGGAATTGGCCCATTTTCTAACCTTTCTGTGACTATTGTGTATTCGATAACTTAGAACCAATTCCCATTTTGTGGCAGGGGTAATAAGTTGTTTTCAATTTACAAACTGTTGCAACATTCTAAAAGACACCCTCAACAAGGCGCCAAAAAAGTTGCCTTACCCTATATTGTCCTTTGATTAATGTACATTTTATATAACTCATTAGAAAGCAAATTAGAAAACCCATTGCCAAAAGGATAATACATGCACGAGTCAGATAAGCTCAATTAATTCCGCAGTATAAAGTATCAATAAGAACTGGAATCTTTATCTTCAGTCAATATAACAGCAAGCTAATTGCAGTACGTATTTTGAGTATTAAAAGAACTTTCATATAAATAAAAATCATCTGTACACGGAATGTTATAAGATGCAAAAAGACATGAAAGAATAATCATTGCAACACTTCGGTAATCACCAAACTTGAGGAAATACCATTATTATTGTAAAATATACAAAATTTTATTGAAGTTTATTATTATTTTTTTAAGAATCTGGCATGACAACATGGGATCCAGCCCTTCATGGTATTTAAGCCGAATGCAAATACAAGATCTTCAAACCGGAGACAAATATTTCTTCATTTGTGAACAATGGTTGTCAGTCGACGATGAAGATGGACTGGTAATTATCTAATGATCAAAATCAAATTTTAGCCAACTTGGTCAAATTTAAGCTCACCTGAGCTAAAAACATCAGAAGATATTTTGATCACCTTTTGTCTGAAATCATATTTGCTACTTCTTTTCGAGAAATGAAAGGTCAATTTCAACAGCAAATCTTATCAAAGTGACGAAGATAACGGACAAAAATGTTAAGTTCTTTGAATTATCTCTATTTGAAAATCTTCTTACACTTCATTTTCGAATTTTTATAAGTGAATAATTGGTGAACTGGGCATGAAATAACATACAGTTAATCGGTCGTTCAATAAATTTTTCGAACCACTGGTCGAAAAAGATGTTACTTATGGTTTATGATAAAGTGTCTCAATTCTAAATTCTTAAAATGAAGGCAACCTGGTGTACGAGTGTTGGTTTATAATGAATATTTTATAAATGACCAAGTGTCATTCGTCTTTTTCTTTGTGAAATAACTACAGTCTCATCGGAGAATTCTAGTTTAAAATATATCAAATACCATTTCTTAAATTTAGTAAACTGTGAAAGCCATTGCATATTTAAGCAGAAGAACCTTATTGACATCTATACATCTTATTGAAAATCTATTTTATCGACATTTTGTACTTTAAAGATTGATCGAATGGTTCCAGTTGCTGGTAGAGCAGAATTGACGAGCTTTAATTATCTGTTCTGGCAAAAGACGAAACACAATTTGGCTGATGGACATTTATGGTTTTCTATCTTTCAACGCCCTGCAAGGAGTAACTTTACGCGAGTCCAGCGACTCACCTGCTGCCTTACACTTCTATTCACTACAATGGTTGTAAGCCTTGCTTGGTACCAGACAGACACAAACTCTTCACCCACGCAAGTAAAACTTGGTCCGGTTAGCTTTTCTCTTACTGGTGTTTATATAGGCGTCGTGAGTGGCATCATGACCTTCCCCATTAATTTCATCATTGTTTTAATCTTCCGCTACTCTAAGCCTAAGCCTGAGAAGAAGAAAGAATTCATTCCAAATAAGGTTAACGAAGACGAGGAAGAAAAAAGCACAAACAATAGATCAACAGATGAAAATGCAGAAGAACCTAGAGCTCCTACCAGAATGGGTACTGAAATGAGTATTTTAAGAGAAAAGTCTGAACTCAATCCAGATTTTGTTGAACTTGAACTGAAACAACAAGAGGAATTTTTAGAAACTGGAGATGAGAAAAAGCGTGTAATGTCCTCAAATGATAATTCTGATGAAAACAATGGCGTGAAAAAAAATCAGACCGAGTTTTCTCACAATGTACAGGTTGTTGCATTTGAAAAGGAAGGGGCAACTAAAAGCAAGAAACGATTACCCTGGTGGTTTATCTATGTAGGATACGTCCTGTCCTTCATTACAGTCGCCGTAGCATTTTACTTTGCTGTGGAATTCGGAGGTGTCTTTGGTCTTAATAAATCAGTCAGTTGGTTGATAGGTTTCATCATGTCTTTGTTTGAGTCAGTATTCTTCTCCCAACCAATCAAAGTAATTATTTTTGCAATCTTCTATGCACTTGTCATAAAGAAACCTGAGGCGCAAGACGACGATGATGTACCTTTAAAACCAGACTTAAGTAAGGACGAAGAATACCTTCATGATCATCTCACAGAGAAAGACTTAGAGGATCCTAAGAAGCTTCGAATGCTGGAACAAAGGAAAACTCAAGCAACTCTGCCGCCAGAACTGGACTTCTTAAAAACTATTCGTGAGGAAAGGTAAGTATATGCTTGTAAACAAGAACCCCCTCCAAATAAAAACACTGAAAGAATTTAAATATGTTGTCCTTACAGGCAAAAGGAGCTTGCCATGTATGCCATGTTCAAGGAGATAGGAATCTGCATTATGTTCCTGTATATTGTACTAACAATTGCCTACGCCAACAGAGATCCTTGGTCATATATACAGTATAGTAACTACGAGAACATTCTGAACAAAGGCACATTTGCTCGAGAAATCGGAAACTATACTGTTTCTTTCATTGATGTAAGTATATTGATTGCTTTCGGCTTATCTATATGACTTTTTGCATGCTGAGTATTACAGTATATATTTTAAATACTGACAATAAGTTTTTTAGTCCATATACAAATTCCTGTGATGATGTTCAGTACACATTTTCACCGACTTTAGATCAACTCACGGGATCAATTTTGGAACTGGAGTGAAAATGCCCTTTTACAGGGGTTGTATAATAACAAGTTCTACAACGGTGATCCAGTTATTGACAAACTCATAATCGACAAACAAAGTATACTGGTCGGTGGAGCAAGATTACGCCAGCTGAGAATAACCCCAGGTCAATATAAAAGATATCATTTTTCTGTTTAATACCCGTTTATATAGGAAAAGACTTAGTGCAATCAACTTTAAGTTTATTATCCTGGAATAAATTTGATTGTTTTTTCAGAATTGTGCTTTATCCCACTGAATTATTTTGCCAAAGAATGCATGCCTTCTTATGATATGTTTTATGAGGACAAAACAAACTACAAACTACGATGGAACCCAGTGAACGATTCAGGTCAGAGAGGTTTAAAAGAGAATTTAACTATATAAAATAGTTTTTGCAATCTGAGAGCTTTTTTGTAAAACCATTTTGGAATAATTGTAGCGATGCCACGTACACCCATTATCATTTAGAGATACTATAACAAATACTTTGTAAATCCGTATAAATCTAGCATTAAACAAATTTAAAGTAAATGGAAATTACTGACAATATAATGAGGATAACTGCAATACTTTTAATTTAATGATTACTATTTGTAAACTAGAGATATTGTGAGCAATGAACTCGCTAAATGATACCCCCGCCTCCCATATGGTTATAATGGCAAAGTCCATGTTTTGCTATGGCCGGGAAACCCAAAATATGTGTTGGATCAAAACGTAAAATAGGAGGTGCACACTGGCAATATGTTATAAAGATTCTGTAAAAGTTTCATTACATTTCACTCAGTTGTATAAGAGAAGTTGCGGATAAGAGATGGGTACCCCAGAGCGTAACAGACAGGCGGACGGACGGACATACCGATTACTATATACCTCCCGCTTTTCAAGCGTACACAACTCTTATGATTCTTACATCACTGAACAGAAGTAATCGTCTACTTTGAAACATCATTTCGCTTCATATTAAAGATACTTTAACACTTTTGCTAGAAAAATCTTTTTGAGGAATTAAATCTATTCACGCTTCAAAAGTCGTTAATTATAATATATGATTAGTGTGCCTCCCATATTGGGTGCTAAACCTGATTTTCCAGAACTATTGCACCTTGTTTCGACCTGATACAAATCATGTGTGTCTGGCTACTTTTGTTTCAGGGCTCTTTATTTGATTTACTATTAAACCAATAGCAGAAATCCCTCAAGCTGCCAGTATCATAAACATGTTGTTTTTCAAGGATCTTTTGCTGTAACTATTCAAACTGAAACAAAGAGAGCGTTTTACGTAAACTATATTTACGCAAATAAATGGATTTGCGGAGCAAATGAACAATTTCTTTTATCAAACAATGTCTGCACTACCAGGAAAATGTATATATGTCATTGTGCCCTGACATACAGGACAGACCTTGATATTTTTCAACTTTAATGATATTTTTTAAAACAACACAAAGTACGTATTTACACATTCATTATAACATTTACATTTACCGAGTTCTTCTACATAGCCAACTCACGCATGAAAAGTACATGGCGAAACTTATCGAAAAATGACGTCACAATGAGACTACAGCTTGTTTGTTTGTATTTACTCTCGGACAATACAGTGGTATATGAGGTACAGGAACATATTCACATATATACAAAATACAAAGTCATGTAAGGAAGAGTAGTGTCAAATAAGAAAATAATTACTGAAAGCATGCCAGTATCTTTTTTTAACAAACACAGTTTTAAAAGCGAGTCAACATTTGTGATGGACATAATTTTCTCATACTTTTAAGTATTTACATGAGAACAATCCTTCTTATCAATAACTTTTACACGTAAAAAGACGAAAAATATGGACATACAAACTACAGAGACGTTAATAAAAATTTACCGATATGGGGCATCGAGAAATTCATATATTTCTTATATTCTTGTGCTTCTTACATTGTTAAATAAGAAATATAAGGATTGATTTTAAATTTAGTTTGAATTTTTGGTTGGTAAATCAGTCAGACTTGCATATAGGCATGTTTTTCATCAAGCGATAGCGCGCTTCATTAGATATATGCGTACGAGAGAAGTCTGTGATTTTGACACCAATAACTCAAACAAAGCTTAAAACAGTCCGTAAATGTCACTTCTTCAAGTAAAATCCCATAAGAAAAATGATTTGACAGTAAACTATAGTTTATTTGTCAATTTCACTTTTAAATTTGGTCATTCTTTAAAACATAGAAAGTCTAATTATAATTTTTAATGAAGTGGAAATTGCAGTACTTCTCATGCATTTTATTTTTAAAAAAGAAATATTATACTTACATTCATATTATAACATTTTACATCACTGATATGACATTCAGGTCCCACGGTGTTAATCACAAGAAAGTGCTACAGCAAAAGTTTTTTTATTGTAAAAGTTTTTTTTATATTGTAAATCAAATATAATTAAAGCTGACAACAATGAACCATAGTTAACAACAGTAAATTTTGTTTATGGTATGTTTGGCCAAAAAGTTGCTTTCTGACTTAAAATTCAATAAATTTTGTTCAATCAAAGGGAACTGATGTTGGGGAAGTTTTACTATAGATAATCAGATTAAAACGTGAAAATCTTTCGATGGTTTATGAAAAAAAGGTCCACCTTTGAAATAATGTTTGCTAACCCACTCCAAACTCGTGTAAAATTATTGGGTCGGGATGTATGTATAAATAAAATCTTTTTTCCAGAAATTTCAACATAATTGTTGACGGGATAAGAGAAATGATAGAAAAAATTTCGTGTCCTGGAATGTAAGAAAAACTGTTTTGAGTCGGGCCATTATTAGTCAGTCGGTCGGGAGAGGTCAACCAAACATTTTTAGCTCACCTGAGCCGAAGGCTTAAGTGAACTTTTCTGATCACATTTTGTCCGTCGTCCGTCCGTTATCTGTCCGTCTGTCTGTCTGTCTGTAAACTTTTCACATTTTTGACTTCTTCTGGGTCAATTTTAACCAATCTTGGTACAAAGCATCCTAGGGTGTTGTTAAAATGAAGGGCCAGGTCCTCTCACAAGGGGAGATAATCAAGAAAAGACAAAAATAGGAAGGGGTTATTAAAAAATATATTTCTCAATAACCACTGGGCCAGAAAAGCTGAAACTTATGTGGAAGTATCCTGGGGTAGCGTAGATTCTAAATTGTTCAAATCATGACCCCTGGGGGTTGGGCGGGGTCACAATAGGGAATCCAAGTTTTACATAGAAGTATATAGAAAAATCGTTTAAAATCTTCTTCTCAAGAACCACTGAGACAAAAAAAAACTGAAACTTACGTGGAAGCATCCTGGTGTAGTGTAGATTCTAAATTGTTCAAATTATGACCTGTGGGGTAAGATGGGGTCAAAATAGGTATTACAATGGGAAATCTGGTTCAGAATAGCATAGTCAAAGCTTCTCAGGTGAGCCATGTGGCCCATGGGCCTCTTATTTAAAGAAAATCTTGGGTCATCATCTTAAATCACATACAAGTTTGTTTAAAATATAAGGGGTAAGGATAAGGCTACAATAAAAATATCTCAGTTAACCATTTCAAGGCCGTAGAACGAAGATACATTAGACAGGAGATATTGCAGTATCATCTGTGACCTTTTAGCCTCATACACCTTTTCTTTCAATAATTAAGATGTTTGATCATTATGGATGTTGCAGATCCGACCGATTTCCCTCACCCCTTCTTCAGTTACCAATCGATGTGGGAACTTTCTGGCTATCCCTACCAAGGAATTTTCGAAACTTATAATGGTGGTGGATATGTGGCTGAGCTGGGCGCCACATTTTCAGAGGCTGAGATGGTACTGAAGTTCCTCAAAGACAACTCATGGGTTGACAAGCGAACAAGAGCTGTGTTCATTGAAGCCAATATATTTAATCCTAACATGAATTTGTGGGGCATTTCTTTATATCTCTGTGAATTCCTACAGACCGGAGGTAAAAAAAAAACTACAAATGATTTCAATAATAATTTTATTATAATTACTTCATGAGAAAAATGAAATTAAATTATTAATATTATACCTATTCATTTTAGCCATTGAACCGTTCCCCAGGGTCCATGTCTTTAGATTAGACCGGTATATTAACAACGACTATATGTACTTTGTCTTGGCCATTGAAATTTCTGCATTGGCTTTTGTCATCTTCTACACTGTAAAAGAAGTTAAGAAAATGAAAGAACAGGGCAAAAAATACTTCAAGGTTAGTTATACCTCTGCATTGAAGATTGGGATCTCTCTGGCATTATTATCTTTCAATTCACCCTGTTACATGTATTGAATTCATGATCTGACTTTAGGTTTTTAGTTCTACTGGTCCGAGACCAGAAGAGCTTATGCGATAGTAAGTGTCCATCGTCCGTCCGTCTGTCTGTCTCTCCGTCTGTAAAAATTTTTCAAAATGATACTCTTCCTACAGTTTTGGTAAGATTTCAGTATAACTTAAGACACAAGTTGACTACACTAAGATACACAATTCTATATATCGGTTTTGATTTCGATGAAAGCTGTTGCAATGGTAACTAACAATAGAAACTTCGTCGAAATACTTTAAAAATGCTACTCCTCCTACAGTTTAGATTTGATCTTAATATAATTTTGCCCACAAGTAGACTATACTAAGATACACAATTCTCTTTAACGGTTTTTGATTTCGATGAATGATGATGCCGTGGTTACTAAAATAGCAATTTGAAATACTTTCAAAATGCTACTCCTACACGTTTGGTTTGATTTCAATTTACCACACAAGTAGATGATACTAAGATACATAATTCTGTCTATCGTTTTTTGTTTTTTTTTGAATTTCAATGAACGATGTTGTCGTGGTTACATGTATCAAAATAGAAATTTCTATGAAAGACTTTAAAAATACTACTCTTCCTACAGTTTTGGTTTGATTTCAATATAGTTTGGCACACTAGTGAAGTACACTTCACTAAGATACATAATTTTATATATCGGTTTTTAATTTCGATGAAAGGTGTTACCATGGTTAATAAAAATAGAATTTTTTAAAAAATACTTTTAAAATGCTACTCCTTTTACAGTTTTGGTCTGATTTTAATATAATGCAGGATTCAAGAAGACTACATTGAGATACAAAATAAAATTCTCTTTTGATATTCTTTTTTTTATTTTGACAAGTGATGTTGCCATGGTAATAAAAATTTAAATTTCTGTAAATTTCTTTTGAAAGGCTACTCCTACAGTTGTAGTCTATTTGCAATCTTGCCACAAAAAAAGACTAAATCAAGGATAATTATTCTATTTACTGTTATTGCAAAGTTTCAAGTCTAACTTCTACTTTTCCTTTGTTATAAGTACAAACAAGTATAACGTCTAGTTTGGCAAGGTCAAGGGTGCAGTCTATGATCTCCTGGTGGAGAAAAAATTATGATATTGATACTTCACATAAATTTTTCTTACACGAAAGGTTTGTTACGACTTTGACCCAAGATTATTTTGGCAAGGTCAATGATACTGGCAGAAAAAATATATTGAGAATCGTGTTAAATTCAATACTCTTCATTAGATTGGTTTAAAAGTTGAATCTTTAGGGAGATTATTCATGAGGACAGGTTACGGTATAAAATGCTAGTAATCCGCAGCAATTCATTCTGTCAAGTTCAACGTTGCAAATTTGTGTCATTTCCATAATTTTCTTATTGAAAAACAGGAATGTCTATATTTTCTTTTAAAATGTCCATGTGTCATAGTTTTCCAATCCAAGAAAATTGAGTTTAAAAATACAGCTGGGGTAGAATCTTGTTTGGTTATCCTCACGAACCTATTTTTCATCCAGTATCTTTTGTTGATTAATAAGAAAAGAATACGTTCTCAACTTCTGAATGCTTTACAACAGGTATGAAATATATATTATTCTACTTTCAGCAATTCTGGAACAACTTTGAGGTGGCAATCCTGCTAATATCTTACTCTATTGGCTTGATGTTTATCTGGAGAGCAGTTCTTTGCGTTAGAATGCTAAATAAAATTGACGAAAACCCTACGAGTTTTGTTAATATGCACTTTACAGTTATGCTGGATGATGTAAGTTTTATTTGTTGAATTGTAACCTCTTGATATAATTGTAATCTTTTTAGATATAATACACTGGAAGTTTTTGATGCATTTTGCTCTTTTAATATACTTCTCCTTGGTTTTAATTTGATTTTATCAGACAACTAGACCAATCAAGATATGCGATTTTGTTTTTCGGTTTCAATCAATTTTGATGCAATAAAAATAGAGCAATTTGTGAACAAAAATAATTTTTCCTTAAAGCCTATAGTGTGTCTATCGCTTATTGTTTATTTACATATTAATATGAAGTCAAATAAATTGAACTCTACTTGAACGTTAACTGAATATAATATATTTTTATTACTTCATTCACAGCTTTCCAGTTGGTTCATCGCTTTCTTGGTCTTTCTTCTGAATGTCCGATTTCTCCGACTGCTTCGTTTTAATAGGAAAATCTCTTTACTAAGCAGTACGCTACGACATTCCGCAAAAATGCTTATCAGTTTTAGTTTTGTCTTTAACATCGCCTTCCTTTCCTTTGCCTGCACTGCATACCTTTTCTTCATGTCAAAACTGTTTGAATTCCGATCTTATATGGTAACTCTGGAGACTTTGCTGTCAATGATGTTAGGTAAATATTTACAAAAAATTATCTACAAGAAAGAAGAAAAAAATAGTAAGCAATAACCAGCTTGTATTGAAACTTTATTAAATATATTTGGTTGTGGCATATTTCAGGCAAGTTTGACTATGAGGCAGCATACAGTGCAACTCGAATTACTGGACCTCTGCTGTTTGGATTCTTCAGCATTTGTTTCAGCTTTATTCTCATCAATTTCTTTCTAACTATTTTGATGGAGGCCTTCGAGGCAGTGAGAAGAGACCCGGCCAATCAGTCCAATGAGCATGAGGTTATAGATTATATGATGAAGAGACTTAAGATGGTATTAGGTGTAGGAACTCCACCAAGACGAAAAGTTGCTCATATGTACAAAGATCCACGATTGCAACAGTACATTTACATTGAAGGTAATAAAATATTTACTATCCAAGAGTTATTTTGAAGATTGGTTTATGAAACTATATATATCAAAAGTCTGAAAATTGAATCTTAATGAAGTTTTCAAAAAAAGTCTTTTAACTGACAATGAAGTATACAAACAGACATAGGACAGATGTCATTCCTCTAGGTTAAAAATATTTTTTTTTTAAACTTATGGTGGCATTTTACAATTATTTTCATTTTTTTGAACTGCTTTAATACTCACATCCGTCATAATAAATCTATAACTAACTGTATTCTAATGAAATGTAGCTCTAAGCCCTGTCTAAATTCTTGTGTTTATTTACAGGAAAAACATCAGACCAAGAAAAACTCCAGGAGCTAGACGAAAAAGTCGACAAAGTCATTAACAAAATGGAAGGATTTGTTGAATGCGATGACGAAGTTAAAGATGAACTTGAAACGGAAATGGAAGAAGTCAAGAAAAAACGGAGAAGAAGAATAGTGATTGGATGAAGACATTTAGCGGGATAAATTGCTTTGTATGGGATAGAATAGTTTTTTCCCCATTTTTTTTCCGTTTCGTACCTAGTATTAATTTTTGACGATAAATAATTGAATAATGTTGTTCCTATAACCAGTAATCTCACTGTGGAAAGTATATTTTGTACAAGTAATAATTTTACAAAGTAATATCTCAAGTAAATTGAGTAATTTGCGATGGCAAGGCTTCTGACACAAGAACTTATTCTTATCATTTCTAAGTAGTTTATATTTAGTTGCTTCTTACCGAATTATCTTTTTATAATTTAATAAAAACTTCTTTGTGCATATTATTCATTTGAAAATTAGTATTCGTTTGCAATGTTTCTTGACGTTTCATGTCCGCCATGAATAAAATATTGTTTCTGATTTCTTGTTGAAATTTAATATCCCTTTGCCTTTTTTTTTTTTTAGTTAAGTGACGACCAACTTGCATGTATTCAAAAGTTTGAAACACTTAATTATAACGTTAAACACTAACATTGAAGATGTTGGTAGAAATTATTTAACTGGATATTTTATTCCTCTGTCTTTCTTTCAATAATGAAAAATAGAAGATCGTCAATAGTGACAAGATTTCGCATAGTTAAAATTAATTCCACTTTTGGTGTTATCCATTTTTAACTTTTCATCAAAATCAAACTCACCTTGGTGAAGTCTTAGTTTATTTAAAGCGTAATATATATTCTATCAAGTACTGTATTTTTCTTATATTTTTTGTATGATAACATAATATATGATGAACTGATATAATTTTATATTGTTATATCAAATAAGATGTAAGTGAGTTAAGCAATACATATTCTCTAGTATGTCTAAGAGTTGTATGAGAGAAAAATTGTAAAACCCCATTAATTCAACTTCGGCTATGTAATCGTCAAAGTTTACCTTTAATGCTTCTTATAATTAGATGTTTTGGAGAACCACTCAACTTCAGATGAATCAAAAAACCCTTAGAATTTGACTTGATAAAATTCTGTGTAAAAGTCATCCCTTATCATGAATTTTTGAACACATGGAAAATACATTTCTTGTACATTTTAAAAAGGTATTGGTAGAACTAACTTAGAGGAACACTAAAAAAACACGATGTGTTTGTGAAACACTTATTCCCCGAATGGCAGTTTATAGCAAGGGTTGAATTTGAATTCTCTCAAATGCATGTCAAACTCCAAAGGTCAAGGTCAAAAGTGTTGGTACCCAAAGGAAGGTCTTGTTACAAGGAATACATCTGTGAAATATGAAAGCGCTATTTCTAACTGTTCAAAAGTTATGACCAAGGATCAAGTTTTTTAAAAAGTGGGTCAAACTATTAGGTCAAGGTCAATAATATTTATACCAGCTGAAAGGTCTTGTCACAATGAATACATATGAGAAGGACGAGAGCCCTAGATCCAGTTGTGCAAAAATCATTGCCAAGGTTAAGTAGTGTAGTAGTAGTAGTAGTAGTAGTAGTAGTGGTACTAAATTATTCATATTATACCCTTTAGGTTTGGTAGGATGATAAAAGGGTATCATAGTTTTACACTGAAATATATTAGAAACATTTTCTTGTCCAATATGAGAAAAACACTATTATGTCACAAACTGGAGTGTTTCTTGCCATTAATAATATATGGAATACCTTATAACGAGTGTATCTTTCGTATCAGACAAGGGATGTTTCCTCCGTGTCTGATATGTGAAGATGCACCTACATGTACAATGCATGAGTTAGCCATAAATTTTTATCATACCATTTTACATAATCAATGGAAAAAGAGCACATGTTTCGAAAATTAATGCGAGGTATCTCTGGAACTTTCTACATCAACCATTCAAGTCTACGCCATGGCTGACAGATATAATACGGTGGATGGTTGTTAGAGCACAGCTAGTCATGATTAATCAAAAAATAAATAAAAATATGGTCTTTAAAGGCAAAATGCTGCAACAATGACACAATATTGACAGATAAACCCATAGACGTATTTCCCAGTCATACTTGTAATCCTACCACATTGTCCAACATTTCAAGAACGGTTAAACACTTCCCGGTTGTTATATAACAAAATGCATGTTCTTTCGAAATTTTTATTTTGCTTTCATCTTTCACAAGTAATCTAAATGTCACTTAACACAATACGATTGGGCAAAAATATACGGATTGAAAAGTAATTCAAACAAGAGGCCCAGGGGCCACAGCGCTCACCTGAGCACATCGGCTAGGAAAAAGCACATATCAGATCACTGAGGTTGGGGGGGGGCTTGAATTTTAACACCCCAGGGGATCATGATTTGAACGAACTAGAATCAACACTACCTGAGGATGATTCCATATAACTATTACTAATCATGGCTTTGAAGTACTTGAAAAGAAGATTTTAAAAGGTTTCCCTATATATTCCTATGTAAAACTTTGGTCGGCCATTTTGGCCCCACCCTAGCCCCGGGGGTCATGATTTGAACAAACTTGAATCTACACTACCTGAGGATAATTTCACATGAGTTTCATCTTTCCTGTCTCAATGGATCTTGAGAAGAAGATTTTTAAAGATTTTTCCTATATATTCCTATGTAAAACTTTGATCGGCCATTTTGGCCCCCCCCCCCCCCTAACCCCGGGGGTCATGATTTTTGATTTTTCATATATACAAACTTGAGTTTACACTACCTAAGGATGATTCCACATGAGTTTCATCTTTCCTGGCCCAGTGGTTCTTGAGAAGAAGTTTTTATAAAACTGCCATTAATTTTTCTCTAATTCATAATCATCTCCCCTTGGAAAAGGACGTGGTCCTTCATTTGAACAAACTTGAATCCCCTTTACCCAAGGATACTTTGTAGCAAGTTTGGTTGAAATTGGCCCAGTGGTTCTTGAGAAGAAATGAAAATGTGAAAAGTTTACAACGACGACAGCGACGACAGACAACGGACAAATTTTGATCAGAAAAGCTCACTTAAGGCTTCGGATCAGGTGAGCTAAAAGCATTTCTTTGCAAAACACACATAAATAAATGTGATCATTAAATTACAGTTACATAAATGACAATTGGTGAAACGTAAATTGACATGTGTACCATGTAGTAACTCGTTCTGATAATTTCAACTTTGTATAAATGTCAAGGATAATAACTGAAAATTGTTTTTAACTTCTTAAGATAAACATGTCAAAGTCATTGCCTTATATGTGAAAGCGGAGGACAAAAATACTAAATTATGGATTAATAGCTTTAAAGATTTTTCAATGTACCAAAGATGATATACATATGTATGTTATTCCCGTGTTTTTCTCCTTTGATAAACTAAACAAGAGAGCCCAGCTACATCTCCCCTTTTAGTCTACAGACGACCTCTCGCAAATCAATTTAATGGCCCCTCAACAATCCATAAGGTGGCGCGACGATACAATAAAGTGTTTGCTATAGATTTGAATTCGCGGAGTTCTATGGAATCCGGATAGGGCCACGCAGTTCACTATCGCATCATCGCGCCATTGAGGTTTGGGTCGATAATGCGATGACGATGAAGCGATTGTGCGATAGCGATGAGGTGATGGTGTGATAGATCGATGACGATGAAGCGATGGCGCGACAATGCGATGACGATGTGATAGTACGATGAAGCGATGGTGCGATAGCGTTGACACGGTAATGCAATGACGATGGTGCGATGACGATGAAGCGATATTCACTTTCGCTCCATCGTGCTATCGCACCATCGTCATCGCATATTTGTGCCATCGCATCATCGTCATAGCGCTATTGCACCATCGCTCTATCGTTATCGCACCATCGCTTCATCGTTATCGCGCCATAGACCTTTAAGTCGATGCACGATGGTGCGACAGTGAAATGCATGGCCCTATCCGGATTCTAAAGAGTTCATCCTTAAAGCTGAACACTACTCGTAATAAGACATAGTCCTCCATATGTCCCGTTTTTTCAACGCTCTCCCTGCAACCACTATATAAGGCGCAGATCGCTTATCACACCCCTACTAATGTTATTGTGATTTAAATTCAAGACACGTGGTTTAGATTTACCTATTCAAAGGTTATAGGGTAGATCCGGTTTGATAAATAAAATTGGCAGTTACCAGGAAATTGCTATAGTCTGTTTCTTCTGAAACATGTCCTGTGAAAAATGTGTGTTTGCACACCTTTCTGAAAGACTTTCATGATTTTCAACAGAAATGGATGGCTTCGGGGGCGGTAAATAACAATCAATACATCTTATACTTAACTGCAAAAATTACAGCTCACTAGCGACCGAGATGCTTGTAAAAAATGTATAATATCATTTACATTGACAAACCTTTATTTGCCTTATATGGCTATTGCTATTAATGCGCACAGAGGATCTTACCACGAGCAACGCCAAATACATGTTTACATGTTACTTCGAACACGTGGTTCAGGTCAATCTATGATCATATCAATGGAGTGCAAAGTAAAAAAAATGTTCCTATGAAACATTAGAAACTATTAATAATATCACTGGCGTTTTTAATTTGTTAATAACTATAGAGAAAAATATGCTTAATAAAACGTATACGTAGTTCGTGTCAAGTTCAGAACACCAGCAATTCAAGGATAAGGAAAACGAGCAGCTTCTCCTATGCGTTTAAATGGACAAAACATTTTTTACATAAGGCCAGGTAAAATTAATCTTTAGATTCTCATCCTAATTTGCTAAAAAATTGGGGCTGGTGGGCGGATTTTGTTTTTTATTTTTTATAATTGTTAAATTGTAAGTATCAACAAAACAAGGACTCTTCGTATACATTTTTTCATTATGTTAATGCCAATATGAATGGATGTTATTTTTTTCATATTCTTTTAAATATTAAAAGAAAATTCTTGCTTAAATTATTAGATATTTATTGTTCATTAACAAATTATCAAGTACACATATACGGACATGCAAAAAAAAAAAAAAAAATGAGGTGGGGTTCTGATACCAACAAATTTTGTATGCATGACTTCTCATTGGCCTTTCCCTAAAAACCCTTGAGTTTTACCTTCAAATCCCTCTGTTTTCTGTAAAATATCATAGATTTCCACCTTTCTCAAAAATTGGATTGTTCTAGAAACTTGACATGTTCGACAATAAAATAGGTCATATTTACAAAATCTATAATAAAATATTCTAATAAAATATCCTACCGAAAAAACCTAGGCCTGAACAGTTTTAAGATTAAACATTTTCTTAGCACTAAACATTCTCTAAAGTCTGCCTACGATGTTTTATTATTTTTTTTTTCAAATCAAAATCACACACAGTTGGAGATTGTTAAAACTTGATCAGGTGTCATTTTCCATGTCTATTTTTATAAAATCTTTAAAAACTTGCTCATGCCAGTGATGGTATCTATATGTGTTTATGCTATTGTTATTTCTCTGCCT